TTTGCAAATACATGTGATTTTGTTATCCTAGGATGGCCACTATATTCCGCCTTTAGTCATCTGGTAAGAGCCTGTGCCTGGAATTCTCTGATTAACTCGCCAGACCAGTAGAATGAATCTGGTGCAATTAATCACAAACTACTCCTGAAGAACTGCTTAGTAGCCAACAGATCAGAGTGTATTGTACTGGGCAGCTTCCATGTGTGACTCAGTGTAACTGTGAAAGCATGCTCAGGGGGCATTCTAGGAAAAAATAAAGCATTGTTCTTAGTAAAAACATGATTTTTTTTTTTTTTTTTTTTTTTTAAACTTCCCTTCACTGCTCTCTACATAACTCAATTACTATTCCACAAGTCTCGCTGCACAGACTGGCCCTAATTACACCGGCCACTTTGTTGAGGTGCCCTCTTGCTCCATCTGTTCAATGCATGCTTACACTGGCTGAAAAATGCGTGTGTGCACACACATAGTGCAGCACCCCTGACAGACAGATAGACAAAGGCAGGTCAAGGTACACTTTCCCATCTGGATGTGGCTTTGTCTACATGAAGAGTTAAACATCTAAACCACCAATCAAGTGAGGCAATAAGAGACACTTTGGCTCTGATGACTGTCTACATGAATACAGAGAGAGGTCCACCTGTCTAGGTCTTACACATGGCTAATTCCCTGACCCAGGAGTGACCTTTAACCTTCCCCCCCTGAACATCATTAGAACACAGGGTTAAAGCTGACAATTTCTATGCATGTATGCATGAGCGTGTATGCGTGAAAGTGGGGAGAGTGAACACTCAGTGTCCAGGAACAGAAGCTCTTTGGCAATAATCTGTCACTTTAATGAAAAACTCACGGGCCGTACCTGATGGCTGGATGATATATTATGACCAAATGCAGATAAATCAGCAACTTCTACAGTCTCAATTTTGAAACAATGACGTGTGGCATTAATTCAAAAAGATCTTGGGAGGAGCGTGTCTGTGCTTCTCTTTTTATCTTGGGCCCACTGAAATGATTTAATAACCCTTTCCCTTTTTTTTGCTTAGGACATGTCTGGGGGAAAGTAATGAGGAAATCAAGTAGAGACAAAACAAAGCAAAACAAAATAAAAATAAAAAGCAGACTGAGGAACTTTGGAAGGATGGGAAGCTTTCTCCCATAATTGACATTGATATGAAGAGACAGAAATGTTGAAGAGGGATGAGAAGCACACACGCAATCTGCAGGATACAGTAGCCTCCAGAAAAATCCTCAAATCACAGTCTATAAAGAGGCCCACCAAAAAGGGCGAGCATCTAAAATACTGTGGCTAACTCTCATTGCTGCACCCCCCCCCCCCCCCACACACACACTCACATGTGAGCACAGGGGAAAAACAGCGATGGTAGGAAACAATCTCTTCTCTTTTTTACTACAACTTTTTTTTTTTTACTTTGACGCCAACTTCAAACTTTCCCCAGTTTCATCCTTATGATCTTTTGCAGTGCGGCCTCTAAAAGAAATAGTGGGTTGTCTCTCTAATAAAGCCTGTTCTTCCTCCATTCACACCTTTATTCCAAAATCATCTTTAAGTTAGAAAAAAACAGAGCACAGAACACCTCCAATGACGAGAGCATTTCTTTGAAGCTTTAATCCTTAATGCTTCAAGTACAGGTAAGAAAAACTGTGTTTCCATTTGGTAAAGCGGTTCAATGACTTTGTGAAGTGACCTTTACATCAATTTCAAGCACTAGTTCAAAGCTTTATCATCCATGACAATTGATAGGTCAGTTTTACTAAATAAATCTGGGGTAATTGCTCCTAAAGACAGAGACATCTAAATATTTGCAGATCCTGTTCTTCTGCACTCTCTCACATAATCGATCAAGGACGCTGTGTTATGTACATACTGTACTCTCAAAGAGCAACTCTGGCTTGTGCAGTCTCATACACTTGGTAGCTCTTTTCTGTCAAACAAAGTGATATAAGGGGAAAAAAACAACATAGGTGCAGTTATGTTTGCCCCCTAAACACATAATTCTCACACCGATATGAGAGGCTGTGGCGAGGGCTTGCCGAAACAGCTGAAATGACCAGACAGTGCCTGGAGAGATGTTTTCAGAAGGACACATTTAAAAAAGCTATGGATGCTTTATAGATTCAATTTGCAGATTCAAGTCTCTTACACCTGTGTGGCTAACCACCATCGATCCATTATTCTGCGGAGCCCAATCCAATTTAGAGTGTCGAGGAGCCCCAGAGCCCCGCAGCCTTATCCTAACCCAGGCCACAGCCGCCACAAAGCCTGCTTACCTTCATCCCCTGAAGTCTGCGGGTGTGTCTGTGTACTTCTATGTGTTTGTGTGTGCTGAGGAAGACTGCAGACCAAGCTAAACACCTTAGCTGCTGGCTCATGTTAAAGTGTGTTGAGCCAATTTAGTTGTTGGGGTAGTGGAGGAGAGAAAGCTAGAGAAAATGAAGGGAACCAAGGCCAGGGTGCCAACTTTAAAGAAGAGAGTAGAAGAAAAGCCAGGGGAAAGATGAGAAAAGCAGGGAACAATTTGCATCCATTGATGAGCAAAAAACTGGAGTAGACTGCAAGGAATCTTTAATCCTATTTTCTGTTACGTGGCAATCACTCTCACCATGACTACCAAGCACTATAGCCATAATCAAACTACCGCACAGTCTCATCAAAGTCTTGGAGAGCAGAATCCATCAGCCATTGGATTTGTTTCTGCAGACAACAGACTGGTGCACTTCAGGATCCCCTGGTGTGAAAGCTTAATGGCACCACGCATTTCCACATTGACCATTCAAATCTCTCCCTTTCACCACTAATTACGGTATCTTCTCCCGCAGATGTTTTAGTTTTAATTCTCTTTGCTGCTCCAATGGACTGCAGCAGCACCCTAGAGATCAATTATTTAAGGGTATTTAAAAGTGTGTGAAAAGGAGATGGCACGGTGGTGTGAAACTGAAAGCAGCTGGTTAAGTGCTAGCGCTGTGGTCTAAACTTCATCACCTCACAAATAAATAGAGAGCATCCTGTGGGTTCTGATCACTCTAGCTCCTAAACCCAGGGAAATGCATGCCTAGATCACCGTAGAAGAAAAGTAGGGAAGAAAAGAAATGGCTGAGAAGGGTTGAGGCGGAGGAGGAGACTCCTTACCAATAACAGGCAATTATGTTTAGGGAGGGCCATCGTCAGGCCATGAGAGTATAGAAGAAGACAGCAGGGATATGGGATGGTAGGGAAATGAGGAGGAGTATTATTTAGGAGGCAGATGGCAGAGAGGGGGAAATTAAGATGAATGGGTACTGAGAGGGCTGAGCTGGTGCTGGGGCTGGGCAGAGAAAAGTAATTAGCTGTGTTTGCTCTGGGAGGCTGGCAGTGAGTATGATGCCTGCAGTGACAGGCTAAAGCCACGAGCTGTATTAGTCAACAAAGCCATGTCTGAACTTGCCAGCAGGAGGCAGCAGGGCCAGAAACCTTCCAAGACCTTCTTACCTGTTCAACACACCATGGGGTGTTTTCACAACATGGACACTGAGCAGCAGCCCGACAATTTCCTTTTTCCTCTAATCCCCTGTTAATACAACACAGCTCTGGCTTGTTCTTTCTTATACTTACTGACTCCCTCACACACACACAAACACACATACACAAGCAGCATCTGAGTCCAATTTTCTATTTCTCCCACATTATTCCTTAGTTTCATCCTTACAAACTGGATCCATCTCTCTTCCTCACACCATTTCTCTCCATTTCTTCTGCTGCAACCACCTCTATCCGTCTCTTTCCACCCACCCCGTATATCTCCCTCCCCCTCGTCCCTTTCCAATCTAATTTCAGATAAGTCATAGCAGAACAACAGTGCAAGGCCCTTTATCATTGCCATCAATGATGTGGGTGGATTGAGCGTGAATAATTTTATTCATGTGTTCCTGTGCCTAGCCCACTGGGATTCTAATTACAAGCAATAAGAGGTAATAGGGTTACAGTGTAATTTTTTAAGTGCCTTGGTAATGATTGTAGAAAACCTGTGACAAGGAAAGAAAGCTGTTTTTTTTTTGTTTTTTTTAATCAGCAACAGCTTAAAGCACAACATGTGCTCATAATTTTGAATGATATAGAATAACTCAATTTGGTATAATTATTATCATGTCAAATCTCTACAAGAACGTTATATAGTTTAAAAAATAACCCTTGCCATGTGAAACATTTAAAATGTATTTTGTTTATGATAACACAATGCCTGAAGGGCTGTAGGCTAAATGTGGCTTTTCACCAGAGCATTTGGCAATAAAAAAACAGAAAAAAGGATTCTCCCCCAAACTGGCAAAGACATTTGACTTGTACTGAATAAATTGTTGTGAAAGATTTCTTAAAATCCCTTTACATACATTTCATAAAAATGTAAGACTCAAAAGCACAAGTTTGGACTCCAAATTCTGCAGTTACTGAGAAATTTAGGAACCTCGTGGCCACAAGAACAGCACACACACACACACACACACACACACACACACACACACACACACACACACACACACACACACACACACACACACACACACACACACACACACACACACACACACACACACACACACACACACACACACACACACACACACACACACACACACACACACACACACACACACACACACACACACACACACACACACACACACACACACACACACACACACACACACACTTCATTCTAGGGCCAAACCCTACATCTTTCTAAGATTGCACATAGCACTGCCTCAAACTATTTCAGCAATGGCCTTTCACACTTTCATACGGCACACACAAGGTCACAACAAGACAAAAGTATTGGACTGAAAAGGTCACTGAACACACATACAAAAGCAGGACATATGAACTGTCAAGGTGAATTTGCAATACATGCCAGAGAAGTTTTAGACTGATTTCAAACAACAGATCAGAGACAGAGCTGAGCATGCTTGTGGCTTAAGCTTTGCAGTTTTTTTTTCATGTTCAGCTTTACCATGGTTAACAGGCCTGAGGACCTGGCGGAATGAACCTGGACTGATCGTCTGCTGCTGGTTATCTGTAAGGAGGGTGGTGGACAAATATTTCCAACACAGTGGATGAATCAACAACAACATAAAAATCACAAGGAGGCATTCACTTGCTGAAGAATGGCTGTGAAGGGAAGTTAATTAATAAGAAATACTATGCTGAAGTGCACAGCTATCAACTGCCCCTGAAGTTCAATATACAATCAGTTAAATAATACGTAGTGATCACAGTTTATATTTTCAACATGTGGCTGTACTTGTAATTTTTCCATTTCCTGGAGATGGATTAAAGATTGCCAGAGAACAAAATAAGTTTGTATTTTCTTTTACTGAGATTCAAACATCAAACAGTTGTAGTAATGTTGTCAGGCTGAGGATTCTCTGGCATTGTGCTGCTAGCAAGCATGTGTTCAAACAACAAATTAGTGTATTTTGGAAGTGACTGAGTACGGAGCCAAGGCATGAAAAACCGAGGATGAATTTAATTCACTCAGTGTTCAAAAACAAAACAAGGAAAATATGAAACCACTTGGCAGGTTATAAACTGGATTCATGGTGATTTCTGAACATCTGACCCGAATCAGAAAGTGTCTGAAAGAGTTGTTTTCTACAGACAATATTTGTATTTTTTTTCTTTTCATGTGTGTGACTTTGTTTGGTTATAATTGTAAGTTAAGGATATGAGACTCACCTCTGGGTCTCGGCGCTCTCTTCCTGCGGTCTCTGAATGCAGCACCTGACTGTAGGGCTTCCAGCAAACTATCCATCACACCTGTCTCATCATTCTCTGAAAAAACAACAGCAAAGACAAAGAATGAGAGAAGACAGGGGGGAGGCAAACAAACAAAATCAGAAAAGTTTCTTTTAGTGCTAAGGTTTGGCATACAGATTTAGAACTTACAGCGGCATAACACTTTATAGTCACTAATCATGTTAGATAAAAATCCTCTAACAAGCACATTCTATGCCACATGCAGAGGCTACAGCTCTATAGTGAATTCAAGGCCACGCTGTAAACGCTACACTGTCAAATACTCAAACCTGGGAATATTTATTGCAGAATATATTTGACTCAAAATAACAATTCCTTTTGTGTAGAAGCAGAGGACATATCAGAATACAAATACAGGTATAAGGTAAGAGCGAGAAGCTTTGCAGATATGACATGTTAATCATGGCCTGAGTTGGCACAACAGAAAACCGTTGGCCCTGACACCTGTGGCAGAATGATGGACCTGGCTAGTGATTTGCAGTGAAAACAGCCTCCAGTAGATTGAAAGGAAAAAAGAAAGCAGGTATATGGGGATGTCAGGGAGAACACATACTGTCGAAAAAAGTTCATCCTATACCGGTAGTTGTCATGCTAATGTCTGTGCGTGGGTGTTTTCTTTTTTCCACACGCTTTCAGTTTTGCCAATAAAATGTACAAATAAGTCTTTGTAGATTGCTGACTCGAGGAGGGGATCGACCTCTGGCCCCTTACAGAAGTTCAGTTCCATAACTGAACATTAGAAGCTAAACACAAGACAAAAACAGTGGTGATTTAATAATCATGGACTGTGGCATGCCCTCCATATGTTGCCTATCAGTTTCATTTTGTGTAAGGTTGTGTGTTCTTTAAAAATGATCTACTTATTCTAAATTATGAAGAAGAAGAAAAAAATGTATGTTAAGTCGCCAACTTTTTCCTTCCATAAGTGAGAGAGTACTCTCGCTGGGTGAAGCCAGCGAGTCAACTCACTATTGCAAGTCGGATCTGTGTGAACATGTTTCAGCAAGTAATCATAACAACCTCTGCACTACAGTCACATGTTAGATGCTCTGTATTGTACTCCTTTCACTTGAATTCAATTATATAAAATTTGAAAGGGGGGATACGGTTAAAAAAAGTTCCAATACAGAAAAAGTGTTTCTATTTAAACATATGCTAACAAAGACAGTGTTGGACTGTGAATGCACTCAATGATCAACCTCTGCAGCTTGTCCTTTCTTTTACCCTTCTCTCTTTCCATCTGACAGTCAGTTATTAGCCATTAACTAGAACAGTACCCCACTGCATCATGGGGTTTGCAAACTGGTATTTTCATCCTCTTTCACACATACGCTACCATGCAGCTCCATGAGGGACTTTCTTCAGACTAATCAAAACTGTTGATTGGCTCCACAGTATATGGTTCTTTTACAGCAAACACTCCTCCACTGTGGAGCTCCTTATCGAGGGCAGAGGGTCCCCAGGGTGGTGGGCTGTGGTTGGAACCAACCCTCTACTGCCAAACATCAGCGGCAAACCCAGACATTCACAAAGAGTGGAGATATCATGGCCCACTTCCTTGCCTGCCTGGATCTCTGTTTACATTTGTTTTGCTTTTCATTCACAGCAGTTGCTCTCCTCCTCTGGCTGATATGTGCCCAGTTCTTCATCATTACACAGAGCAGAGAGGCAGCAAGAATTTCTGAGTAATACCAATGCTCCTCAACGCTCAAATTTGTCTCCTCTGCTGTGGCAATTCATCATAGGCTGCAAGCTTTACATTCTCTACAGCACATACACAAAAATACAGATAGAACGCAGGAAAACCAGTCAAAACAACCGATACATCTATCACAACCTGCAGTCTGGAGCCTTCATGTGTAGTACTACGTTTGACTCCAACTCACAAGAACATGAAACAGTTTGTGTGCCTCAGGAGGAGAGGAAAAAAAACCCACTCAGATCTCATGCCTCAGGAATATATGGTAGCAAAAACAGTCCAATTTTACACATCAATCAGGGGAGACTCAGACATATGGAGTTAGATCAGTCTCAATATTCACAAATGCACACAGAAGGATTAACAAATGTATTTCAATGCACACACAAATATATTTCATTCTCTATAAATGTAAAACAAATCCACAAAAACAGCTTTCCATATATAGTACGAAATTCACAGAGACTATTTGTGCTGGTCAGATTAAAGATGACTTAATCAGATTGTCTGATAGCTAGGCTAATCGCTGTATGCGCAGATGCAACGCTAAAGTGATCACATTAAATCATACCCTTGAATCTACGCTACTGTGATTGGCTGAATAGGAAGGAGACATCTGATTGGCTACAGACATTTTCCTGCTGAAAAAAATGCATTTGTGAATCTAACCACGGCAGGGGAGTCTCAAAAATCCCACACACAAATGCAATGAGGTTCACAAATGACAAACAGTTTGTAAATGCAGACTGAACAGTTTATATATATGTGGATTTCTATTACATATATACAAAACTATAAATATTTTGGTGTGAACCAGAAATACATTTGTCAATCTTGGATTCACAATCGTGGATTTGTTTATATGGAATGAAATATATTTGTGTGTGCACTGAAATACATTTCTGAATCCTTCTGTGTGCATTTGTGAATAGTGAGACTGATCTAACTCCATACAGACAGGCTAAGACAAAAAAACAGCTTTATACAACGTAGACAAGAGGTGCTTTCCGACAGCCTAACACTGAAAATCATAACACATATTTATATACTGACACCCACATACTCGCAAACTTAGAGAGAGAGAGAGATCACAGACATGTCACATGGTTAGTAATGGAGGAGGAACACATGGCAGTAGAATATTAGTCAAGCCAGTAGCTGTGAAATGGGTTTGAGACAGTCATTCAGCTTGTGAAAGGTGGTGTTGAGGAGGATATGGCGAGAGAACAAAGACGAGCGAGAGGAACGGGACAGTGAGGAGTGGTATCCCAGCTTTGGCAGTAGAGCTGCTGATTGGTTGCTTTGATGTGCACAATTCGCCTGCCTATTTCTATTCCACTGCATCTGGGATCAGAGCTCTTATGACAGGTGTGCAATGTGCACAGAGGCTTTTTGCTTTAACTTTCACAACAAAAAAGAAGAAGACACTCTCACACGCTAGTCTAGGCCTTACTGATGTCTATTTTAAGAAAAGTAAGAGTGTCTACCATGTGTTCACATCTTTTTCACGGCAGCTCCGCAGTAAGCTCCGAGTGCAACAATTCAGTAGTGAAAAGAAAGCAGGAACTCAGCCAAATGTTCTCTCCTGTGCAGGTTTAAGATTAAATGTCCCTTTAGTTTGGAAAAATGGACAGAAAACCAGTATAAATGATGACATGCAAGTGTGCAAGTCAGATCAACAAGAAGATAAAGACAGAAAGATGTTTACTCTACCCAAAAAAAGAATAGTGAACTCTGGCAGGGGAATCAAGACAGAGTTGAACTTCCATCACAGGGAAACAACTATAGTGATCTGTATAGTCTGTAGTGAAACTTCAATCACCATCTATTTAATCAGAGCATGTTCAGCCTGGCGTTTTCTATTGTCTGGACGTGCAGCCTATCTGTGTTTCAATGTCTCCCCTCTATTCAGACCCAAACTAATGCCTCCCGCCACTTCACTCCACAGGATGTGGCACTTATCATCAGAACAATGACCCAATCTGAGCAGTGTGTAGCAGAGGTGGGCCGGGGCATGGCAAGAAATAGGGTCAATTGAACCGGGATAGGAAAAGCTAAGGAGAGTAAATCACATGTCTGAGTACGATGAATGCAGGTCGACCACTGTGTTCCCTTGGACACTCAGAAGGCAAGCGGTGCAATAAGGCTAGTCAGCTCCTTCTCTCTCTCTATTGAATACCCTGTGTTCCACTTTACTGATAATTTAAACCGGCAAGTAGCCAAGCCATTTTCTGGAAGATGAACAGGGATGGACAAATGACAGCAACGCATCATCACCAGCTAATAAATATTGTTATAGGTCATTATTGATTTGCATCCTCGACAAAGCTGAAGTAAGGTAGAGTAAATCACTTCACTGATGTTTGTGTTGATACTTTTCTTGTAATATATAATTTCCCTTTTCTTCTATGACTTGACGTGTAGTTGAAAAATGTTTTTTAAAAATGGAATAAATGAACCAAAGTCAGCCAGTCTTTAGAACAATTTAACTCATGGACATGCAAAATATGATGATGCGAGGTCACATGACAATTTTGCTTTCTAGTAGGAAGTCACGTGTGGAAAAGGTAGTGACTCAATGTACATCAGCAATCAGTTTAAGTCAGTCACACTACATTTGACCGGTTAAAGTTTTAAAGCTCCATCGCATGATAAGTATATCATGCAAAAACAGGGTGAAACAGTTTTGTAATGTGAGTCATGATGGGCAAATGAAAATGTGACAGAATGGGATAAAGTCTGTGATTTAATTCAGTCCAAGACACGTCTGCCATGATGAATGAATAGGGCCAGAAGTGCCTTTGGTACAGGCCTACACGGCACACAAAGTAGCCAACAACAAGAAATAGTGGTTAGTTTAAGTTTATAGTATATAGAAGTGTTTGCACTAAATTTCATCAAACTGATTTAAGCATTTGTTTGACAGTTCAGTTATTATCAAAACTGTATACAATATGTTGTTTCATGTCTATGATAAGAATGTGGGAGGGGCATATAATATATATTTCTGCCTTTTAATAAGGCAGTTTTTTCTTACCACTGTAACTTTTGCTGCTTTGCTAAAGTGCTCATGATGGATAGGCCGGATCTTTGTAATATAGCAATAAGTAAGGTCTTTTACCTGCTTTTTGTAACATAACAATGAGTAAGGTCTTTTTACCTGCTCTTTTGTAATGTTAAAAGACTAAGAGTAAGGTATTTTACCTGCTTTTTGTAAAGTGTCTCGAGATAAGACTTATGAGTTGACGCTATACAAATAAAAATTGATTGATTGATTGATTGATTGATAAGATTTTTCTCCTTTCTCCTCTCTTTTTCATTCATGATTTGAGATTGTATTTTTTGTATTGCATTGTTTGTTTATTTGGACAATGAATGAAATTAACGTATATAAATCAATCTTACGACAAACTGCAGGTGTGTGTGGTCTCCCGGTCTAGCCAAGTTGTCTAGTGTGAGTTTGGAGGATTATAATATTAACAATTGGTTGAAACTGTCCTTCTGTCTGTGGTATCCCACACTCTGAAAATCGGTTAAGATTTGAAAATCGTCTGGTGGGTAGCCAGCTGCAAGCTGGTCATACACACTAGATATGAGAGGAAAATCACAACATTAAGCACTGACAAATAATAACAAAGTAACAGCATCCATCTATATAAATAACAAACTAGCAAGCACCATTACAATATCAATGCATGATACTGAGGACATAACATTGTTTAGGCAAGGCAAGTTTGCCCTCAGCATCTAAGAACTATCTCATGAGAACATACGGTATCTCATAGGAGCTACGGCTTAGACAAATGATTTCTCTCTCTCTCTCTCTCTCTCTCTCTCTCTCATGCCCCTCCTATGTTTTTAGCATCTTTGCATGCAGAGATGCATCTCTTGCTGTTCTTCTATTTGACGTCTTAATAGTTTATTGCTTGTAGCCATGTAGGGAATGTTAAATAAAGCTCTGATGTGTAATTTGTCGCTCCACAAACATTCTCGCTCCCGGCCTACCCTGGGAGTTAATGCAAAAGATTTGTCATACACAAGCCAGGCACAGCTAGATGAGGAGGAAAAAACACCTATTCAATCTGAATTTCAATCTCCATAGGGCGGTATGCAAATGCATGCAAGCTGATGCTCTCTTTCTCTCTGACTGCCAGAAAAGCACAGTGCAGCTGATGAAACTGGGCTGCATATTATATTATTGGTAGAAGCCCAGTCTGTGGCAGGTAAAGAGACAGAGGGAAATGAGATGGAAACTGGGAGTATCTTGCATTTGGAGAATACGTAAATAGGCAAGCTAGAACCCTTCTGAATGCAGATACCTGTAGAAGGTAAAGAAACTAAAACCCATTTTGATCATTTCCTCCAGGAATCCCTCCCTCCCCTTTCTCCCCTTGTCTCTCATTGCTGTGCCCTTCAGCATAATGTGGATGTGCAACCTCTCTGGGGCTTTTTAGGGAATTGATGGATAATCAGATGATTACACAGAAAATCTCCATTGAGGACAATCCTCCCTGACAAACAAAGAGAAAGCTCTTTAGTTAATAAATAGGCTGAGAGACAGACAGAGTGAGAGAGTGTGAGAGAGAGTGAATAAATCCTGTCCTGGGTTGGCAGCACAATGCCAAATCTCTATCACATATTCATTTCATCCCAACAATCTGTGTGTATGTGTAAGTGTGTGTGTGCGTGTGCGTGTGCGTGTGCGTGCGCGCATTTGTCATTCATTGCCAGAAACATCACTTCTTGGGGGTGTCACTGAGTTTGCCTTTAGCTTTATCTTAATTTGAGCGTAGCTAAATAAATTTCAAGCTCTGGGCATATTTGTTTAAGCCTTTCTGACAAAATTTGGCTGATGTTTGTTCTTAGGATTTTCTTATTTCTGAACTACTTTTCTGAAATAGAAAAAGTTTGCAGTAAAACACAACACAACACTTACCCACACACTTGGAAAAGAACTCCAAGCTGTCAATCGAGCATGCTTCAAACTAAACATGCAACAGTCATTCAAACTGGACAAAAACATTCAGTACCAGTTCCAAATAAAGCATTTACCTTGTTGATGTACAAACAAGCTGATTTAATTGAAGATATAACATGAAACACCAAATTCTTGGTTGAATAAAAATTCAACCCCACTAATGGAAAGTTTGAGGCAGCAATCACAGCTATGAGAATACAGTAATGAATTATTATTATTATCTGAACACTTGCTAAGGCTCTGTCTCATGTCATCGGTGAGTGAACAGCATGCCCTACCATACATGCTTGATTTTGATTGAAGTATGAATTCTGATTTGCCACTTCAAGCCAAGTGTGTAGGGTTTTTTTTTCTTTCTTTTTTGAGAATTTCTTTACACTGCATCCATTTAACCCTCTTTGTTTAGAAACCTTCAAAGGCCTTCGGCTGAGAAGCAGCCCTACTGCACAGTGCTGCCACCAATGTGCGGTGTGCTTCAGGCTGTGGATTGGTATGTTTCTGCTCATGTGTGGAGTTTGGCATTGGCGCCTCTTACTTTCCCATGCAAACACACACACACTTCTGTATTATAGACACATCATTATGCATAACTGGTGCCAAGCTTTTATTTGAGTTTGTTTTGCATACCCTATTTCTGGTATTCTCAGATAACCACTTGAAGGCAAAGTGTGAGATATAGCTCTTGACCTGCCCATGAATGAAGTTCACTCATTTCCAGATGATATGACCCTTCATTTTGAATGAGGGCATACTTGTAAAACTTTGGGCCATGTGTGGCAAATGGTGAAAAGTGAGGAGGTCCAGGCCATAGCAAAGGGCTTATGAAGGCCTTTATAATGCTTAAGCCAAGTGAGGCCTCAATTTGGCAACATAGGATGCCCACAGCAGTACTTTGGCCTGGATGGAGCATGGTGGTTCTCTACTTGCACTCTAACATCTACAGGAGTGCTACAGTGGCTGGCATAGTCATGTTCACCATAGATGCTGGAGCAGTGCTTGGACTGCCAAGCTCAACTGCTTTGCCAGCCTTGGCTTTGGCAATGGAAATGGGTCTGCAGGCTGCACTGTTGAACAAGTTTCTGGCACCAGAGCTGCTCGAAAGGGGTAGGAAAAAACAGACAAGAAAAAAACAACAACTGGCAGTTTGAGCCAGATGCTCTGGCATAAGGTAAACATTGCCTCTTTCACAACTACATTTGAACCTGCTTGGTAAATAGTTTTATCATTTTAGCTACTTTGCCCCTGAGGGCCACAACAGAAAAGTGTTTGAAAATGGTTATAAGTAGAGGTCTTTACAAAAACTCCTTTAACATCAATTTACAATATGCAAGCATGCGTTCAGCCACCAAGTTTCACAGCACATAACGCCCTGCAGCTGCATAGGCAGAGTTGAAATCCCAGCTCCATCTATCAATACAGGATGTAAAGAGTAAACCACGTATTCAGCAAAGAGGAACATCAAAAGAGACTCAACATGTTTTTGATAACCAAATGTGACATTTTCAAAGGGAAATTTTGGGTGGGCCAGTTCAAGTCTGACACATAGCAGTCGCCCTTCTACTGTTGTCAGTAAAAAATGTGTTGATAGAAATGCCATAAAAGTGTTGTTTTTCTGCTCAAAATTCCTGAGATTTTTCAAGGTAAGCAACATGAGTGAACAGAAATAGCCAATTTTTCCCATGTACAGCTGGTTGATGATGTGAATATGTCCAATTACATGTAGCATTGATACAAAGGTAAACAAAAAACTGCCATTATGGTGTCGGATTCTAATGGTTTGTCTGCCATCTTTCATATCTGCAGTGTCTTTTTATGTCATGTCTTGCCTTCTCAGATATAGGGATGGGTATTGTTTCGATTTTATTGATTCCAGTTCCTACTCGGGTTTGTCTTTTTGAATGAGGGAATAAAGACTGTGAAAGGGACTTTCCTCCCTATTATTTATGAAAATAAACATTATGCTTCCTTGTAAACAATGGAAAAACATTTAAGCAGTTTTTGTAATATTATCGATGATTTGAGTTATTCTGTTAAATGTTTCTAATGTACCATGATGACAAAAACCAATGATGCATTTTGCATATCTTAAGGCTGCTGACTCAATAGTGACTAAGGAGTTTAACTCCTTCACAACAAATCTTGTCACTGCAGGGTGACGATCATGTTCACTGTGTACAAACTTTGGCATAAAGTTCTATTTCACCCAAAACAACTCTCTGGATGAACCGTGGTTACAGAGGCTGTCCTTCAATCAGTTGACCTGTGTTAAAGGTCATTTAAGCAATCAGCTATCCTTTTAAAGTGTTTTGTAGCAATCAATTGAAAACCTTACAATCCTGACAAGAACTGTTCCGGAGTCAGCCCAGTGCTCTGACCTCCAAAGAAGGTCATCCTAAAATGAAAATTTAAGAGAGCATATCAACCCAATGTGAAAGTTGTCATCATATGACACGATAACACAACACAGAGGTTGTTATCATATTGTTTATGTCTTGTATGATCTGGGAAACTATGTGTGTGATAGAGAAAGTGTACAGAAATAATAAAGGTCTATAATTGTAATGGAGGTGACAAGGACTGAGCGACATCTCAAATCCTCTTTTAGGATTACACAATGGGTCATTTGAATTTTAAATGTCTTTGCATTTCAATGCTGTCCTTCATTATCCACATCTCCATCAATAAAAAGTCAAAAATGCTTTCTGTGTGGGGGTTTCTTTTCACAGACTGATCATGAGCAGTGAGGAAATAGGTGTCTCCTTTAATCCATTTAAATGGGACTTGTGTTTACTTGACAAATGGGTGTCATTGTCTTTCAATGATCTCTTACACCATTTGATCCCAAATTGATTAAGCACGCGGCTCCCTGTCAAGGGCTTAACAATGCAAGCATTGACAGGCAGAGCAGATTGAACAACCTCTACCTGCATTGACTTCCAGCAGCCTCCTCTTCTTCTGCTGCCTCTCCTGCTTCTCTCGCTCAGCCTTCTCCTTTGCCGCCCGTGCCCTCCTCTGCTTCTCCTCCGACTCCCTCCGCCTCAGATTCTCCTTCAGTGCTTGCTGTGGGGAGATAAAGAGAGAGTGAGAGAGAGAGAGAGAGAGAGAGAGAGAGAGAGCGAGAAAGAGGCAGAAAGAAAGAGAAAATGAGACGGATTGCTAAGTGGGGTTAATTACAGAAGTGTAGAGCCTGTCAAAGGCAGAGACAGCTGTCAAACCCCACAGACGTCTTTATCAAGCACCATTTAAGTCAGATGACGCTTCTGAGGTGCACAGCCGGCCTGGTTTTGACTTCAAACACACAAAGGAGAGACAGTTCCGTAAGAGTGATGGAAGAATGACCATAGGACATTGATAGAAACTTCAGATTTTTTTTTTTTCCTCTTTCAAGCACATTTGAAAAATATGTATAATAATTCCTAATCTAAATAAATAAAAAGTAATATTTTACTTTTTTTTTCTCCTTAATACTCTATTTCAGGAGCTAAACACATCCCTGCTGGTAGGACTTCCTTTCAAAAGCAAACAATGCGTGGGGAAAATGTTATATGTTAAAAAAAGAAGTGATTCTTATACAGAGTAAAACGTATATGAAGCAATAAAGAGTGCAATAATGCAAGCATCAAGTCACAGGGAGTGTCAGTGTGCGTAGGTGTTAGGGTCAACATGACAGCTTAGGCATCACCTGATGAGCTCTTTTTCCAGTCACTTAGCTATAGGTGATCTCAATGGCAATGTTAACAGCTATGCAATCTGGTTTGAACAACCCCAAAGTTCCGTTGTAATGTATTGTACAGTGAAAGCGAAGCTAAACACAGCTTACAGGTGCTAATGTGGGTGGATGTTGTTGACATGAACTGCAAACAAAGTGCAGATTTAACCACAAGTCAGTTTGCCAGAATCTGCTTACGTGAAACCAAAGTTAACCACTACATTAAAAATAAAGATTAGGGAGATTTTCTTGCATAACTTTTAAACCAAAACAGTATAATTCCATGAGGAATAAATTTGACATAAACGTCATATCAAATCTCCATTCAATTTCATTTTGGGGGAGATAATATAGTTTCCATCCTGTTACAATTAATTGAAAATAACTCCTTATGTTTCTCTTTTCTTGACATTGTGATGGTCACAATAATCTAAAGAAATTGTCATTCACTATCACTATTATGTAAGACCTCTCTATTCTTAAAGTACAACAATAACAACTTGGGATTGGGGAAACTGGCAGAAATATCTTTTAGTATTATTTATATTTGCAGAGCAAATAAGTAATCTCTAAACTAATCAAAAAGCATTGTTTATTCTATTTTACCTGTATATTGAGAATGATCTATTAAGTAGACGTTCTATTGTATATTAACCAGTGTGTGAAGAGGCTCTATAATCATAGTGTCATAGCGTTGTTAAACTCATACAATAGTGTCTATAGCTCAATAATGCCCCAGCTAAGAGACACACAGCATATGATTTAACAGAGTGCTAGCATGATTGCCATCCTGATCAATAGCCAGTCACTTAAAGCAAGCGAGTCTGGGCTTTTATCAAACACCCAACTCCTCCTCCTCGTCTCCCCTTCTATTGCGTTATTCACACAGCGCAGCTTGACAGGCAGGTCAGTAATAGAATACTAATGCCAAAGCCACACCAATGGATACACACAGAAAAACACTGTAGGAGAGCTGTGTAGTATGAGGCAAATTACAATGGCAAAATAAAAAGGGGCGGCCACCTATTGAGGCCCCACCGACAGCCTATAATCATGTCTGCATATGAGTGACCATTGTTGGAAATGAACTCAAATTCATAACATATTGGTGCTGTTGATTTTGACTCTTGAAAATCAGCGAGGAAGCACAGAAAAAAATACTAATAGTATGGTGTAACAGTATACAACATTAACCATTTGGCTCTACCTTAAATAGTATATTCCTGCGTCCTGTTTTCTCCATTGCCCAGCTCGCAGCCTTTATCATTCAAAACACTTTGTATGACTATTCCATGGTTGCTCTTTGTCTGCACACTCTGACCTTGATCTTTGACTGCAGAAAATCGTGTTTACTTATTCATAAACAGACCCACTTGGAAATTGTAGTTTGCCGACTGTGTAGCAGGCAAACAAAATGCATCTTTAAACACTCACTTAAAAGATAACAGCAGCAAATGACACTGATGTGTCCAACTCAGCAGGTTCACAGAAATTCACAAGAAGACAAGTGTGCTGAAGAAGGGACAAACTAAAGCTTCTACTTTTAAATGAAAGCAACTCCTCCACAAAATTAACTCGGATTTGATGGAATGAAAATGTCAGTTGCTTCTGGCAAGCACTGATTCACAAATGACTATATTCTTAATGGGTGTCCAATCTGGTAAATTACGGGCAGACAGAATGAGGAAAAAGAAAAGGCACGAACAAGAGTACTGACACATAATACATTTTCAATAATTAAGTGATCCCAGGTTACAAGCTAGACAGCTGTGATGGATGCCTAATATGAACTCAGACAAACTCTGACACTCCCTCTCCACCTCTCAATCAAGCACCTCTCTCATCAAATTCAATTACCAAAGTCGAAAGTAAACACAGTAACAACAAAACCAAGCTGTCGCTACCCTTAACAAAAACTAATTTCATACAGAAAGCAATTGAGTACAAGTCGACAACAACAGATTGTCGTATGAAAAGTTGTTTACATACTTGTATGATTGGTTTTGTTTTTATAAATATAAACCTTTGATGCAACTGACTTTCGAATTGATAAAGATAATAGTTAGGGCTGGTTCAGGCTTGGACAAGTCCCTAGTTATGCTGCCATAGGCCTTAGACTGCCGGGGGACCTGGCACAGTGAGATCCTGTCTCACCCTCTATGTCTGTAATTATTCATATCATATTACTGCGTGTCACTAACTTAGACTTAACTTGGTTAGATTTTACATTTGGCAAATAGATTTCAGATGGCTATCTGCCATGTGACATGGCAGATAGCCATCATGTTAAAAAATATAGTGAGTTTTAAGCATGTATGTTGCAGCCGCAGCATCTTTTACACACACAGGTAACGCAGTTGAACAATGATCTGTACAGACAGACTGCTACTTCTGAACGGTCGGTTCAACTTTTCTCCATTCACTCTTCATGTCTGCATTCATCATGTATGTATCAGCTGGGGGTTGTGCATCCCACAGCTTGCTATAGTCTGCAAACTCATAGAAGATCAAAGTTATGCCGAGTTTTTCTAGAAGGATTTTTATATACTTGTAACCGCATATATCAATCTCATGGTAGCGATTGAGATAAATCAGGCTGGCAGATTGACTCTCTTTGGACCATGAATGTCATTCAATGAATGGTAGGTGGTTTCAATAATATAGCTATTCAGACCCAAAGAGGAAGTTTAAAAAAGGGAAAATTACTTCTTATCTTGAACCAGACCCCTTACTGCTGCCAGCAGCCGCGGGAAGACATTGATTAGTCAATAATGGGTCAATACAACAAGTGGGCCTGTTTAAGAGAGGATCAGTCTTAAACTTCACAAAGAGAAGAGAGCAGGGAAGATAGCAGCTTTAAGAACATAACATCCAAACATCCTTGTTAAATTGAAAATGATATGATCACAGCAAGTGCTAAAGGCCACACTGTCTACTGATATTGCAGAACCAATTAGCAAACTCATAATACAAGAACAAAGAAGTCGGTGTGGACATTAACTTAGTGCAGTAACTCAAAAAAGGTCATTTTGAGCAAAGTGGTTTTTCATCTCAATACAACTTCTAGGAAATAATTATCTTAATTCTGAAAAAATAATGAAAACTGAAGGAACGTAGATTTTGAGAGCAAGTGACGGAAAGCCTGAAACGACAAAAAGATGAAGAGTCATGTGATTTTTTTTTTTTGCAATCTGACAAAGCATTCATTTTTACTGTGATGTCTAGCTGAAGGAGAGAAAGAGGTAGAGAGAAAGAGAGAGCAGGAGTGAGAGAGAACCAGCTCTCAGAGGAAATTGCCCTCCGCTCTCCTTCATCACTGCAGGTCTGCTTCTCCCTCCTCCTCTCCTGGATGTCCGCCATTAGACACGCTCAATTGGATTCCTGTCAGATGTGCGGCCTCGCCCTGGGTCTCCTTCCTACGGGTGACTGAGCATGCTGTATGTGTGTGTGTGTGTACGAGTGTGTGTGTACCTATTTTTTTGTGTGTGAAAAAGCTAAGCAGCTTCCCCTATAAAAAAAAAAAAATCGCCAATACAAAATGACATACGCACACAAACACACACACACACACACACACATTCCCATGCAACATACACACAGTTCAAGGCTCAGTTGGCTTCAGGCAGAGGTCTGGAGACAGCACGCTACTATTAGCATGGGCCTTGGCACAGCAGGGTAAATGCTGACACAGATTTGACCGAGAGGTTACGCTGCTGAGATTTACTGTATGCCTATGTTCATTGACCTAGCCTTGGCTTCTTCCTAGATATGTCTGCGTGATGTGAGCATTTGAACGAATTGCTGAGGGTGTAAGCTGCTTACACCTTGACCTATCACAGGGGAATGAATAGCTACCTTGGGAGTTTTGACCATATAACGCAGGTCTTTATAACACTTGGCTTGTTCACCTTTCACTGGCTGAGTCATTAACTGTTATGTTTGGGAGGAACATAAAAGCTGCTACAAAACTCCAGCTGACCCATGGAGCTCAAATGAAATGGATTCTAGCCATGATATCAAACCCTATCATGCCCATAACATGTGGTATATTTTTTCTCATAAAACTTAACTGGCATTAAATTAATGCATGAAACATATTGAGGTCTTTTATCACCCCGCTCTAGGTTTGATCCATGTCCAAACACAGCCAGGAGAAAATGGGGTATTTGCCATTGGAGTGAGCAAAACAATCACAGCACAGATATGTCATGGGATCAATAGTACAGGTGAAAAAAGGAACAGCCAGGCTAAAAGCAAAGCATTTGGGAGCCTTTCTTTTGTCACTGCCTGTGTGTTTCTTTGAGCCTGTGAAGGAGGTGTAGATGCTGTAGTTCCTTTAGGGCTTGGCACACACAGCAGCTAGCAGGATATTTGACAACTAGATGTGAGGACATTCTGTTAAATCAGAAAGTAAGAGGACAAATCACTTTTTTTGTTCCATAGTAGCATACGTACATACATACATAGTACATGCAATTTTAGGTAAATGTGAAAAGTGGACACCATTTAGGAGCTTAGACCTTGCAAGGAGCTGACTTAAAGTTGGGATATTAAGCAAAGAGTGAAGCCATTTTATAAGTTGCAAACTTAATCAGTTCTTCAATTGGATTCCTACTAATAACATAAGATGGGAATTTACAGTCATCTAAATACTCGAGTATCACATTATGAACAAGTACTTGAGTACTCCCTGTGTTTTTCTTTACCATAAAAAATGGAAAATTATATAATCTAACCTCCAATATTTTATTTTGTTTAGATATCAGTTTATCTGGACACAAGGCTAATCTCCTTCTCTCCGTATCACAATGCCGTGTGCTGTGTGCAAATGATGCAAAGTTACTTTACATGTTGTCTGTCTTTACTGGTTTCTCCTTATGATTGTTTTGCATGCTGTTAAACATCAGACTCGTATTTCTATAAAATACAAGTTTTTTGTGCGTGCTCTTGCATTTTGGAGTAATATGTCCCTAGAGAGGTACCATAGCTGTTGCTATAATCCAGCTCACTGTGCACATGTGTGAATATTAAATAAAGATGAAGATGTGGCTGGAGAAGTTACACTTCTGTGTGCCGGTCGTTATTTTCCTTCTAAGTATATCCAGTTAGGCAAACCCAAAAATCTCAGTTACACACTTCATGCTTTTAAACTATTGTAGCCTATGACAACGCATGTGCTGGAGCTCAAGTACTCAAACTGTTAAAATGGCTTAAAAAATGCTAGAGAACACCAAAACAAATGAATTAACAGCAAACGTGCTGAAAAAAAGAGAAATGGTCAAAAGAAAAACAACAAGTGCAATAGAAAATAATGCATATTCAAGTCAACCCTGCAGAAGTTATTCAGGCCCCAGGGGTGAGCGCAAAGTGGAACAGCTTGATTTTTGGCCGTGAGAGAGAACCAGATGAGAGTTGTTGTTTTTATGAAGTGGGTGGAAAGTAAAAAAGACTTCTTACCTTTTTATGTTTGCCTCATTATGCAACATTTCTTCCTGCTTTATAAGTAACGCCCTCTCATCTGTTCTGTTTCTCAGGCCTAAGAGGGCTGTTTGTTACACTTCTCTACTACTCGAGAGGTCGAGAGTACTTCCGTTGTGTTGACCTGATAGGCAGCATTTTTATGTCATATTTGACTTTAGGTTTAGATTTTGTGTTATGAGACCAAGAGAAAAATTTCAGTATCACTAATAAAAAGATGAAGTTTAATGGCAATGAAAATTTGGGCTGCAACTAACAACAATCTTAATTATTGATCCTAGTGATGCAACTATTCAGTCAGCCCACGATTCCATACATACCTCTGCTTTTGAGACATGGTTTTCAGTTGGATTTGGACAGCCCGGCCGTTAGTGTTACTGTTATTCCAATCTTTGGAATTTTTGGGCAAATTTCAAAAGAATTAAGGAAAAAAAGCATTTATTTTATTCCAAAACTATTTATTTATTTTTCACTTTCCTGGTGTATGTGGTATAGTCTCAGTGAAAAGAAGGCAGTGTTTAAGTAGTGCCTTATGTAGACCCTATCCCCACAGCTCGCCATGTCAAAGTAATGTGTGAAATCTGACACCAGTGCTATCAGCATCCGACAACTTTGGCGCATAGTGATTGGATATTCATTTGGGGGGAGGGGTTCCCTCATCCCGCGCATGGACTCACAGGCACACACAAACAGAGCTAATTCAGAGAGAAATACGATACATGGAAGCTTGTTGTATGCAATTCACACCGTGGATGCCATACCAAACATAGAGTATTGATTCATTGGTCAATTTTTCTCCCCGATCAATTGATGAATCCCCTTTTTTTTTTAAACTGTTGTTAGTTCTAGCCCTTTATTCAAAAAAACACACACACACACACACACACACACACACACACACACACACACACACACACACACACACACACACACACACACACACACACACACACACACACACACACACACACACACACACACACACACACACACACACACACACACACACACACACACACACACACACACACACACACACACACACACACACAGATGTACAAGCAACAACAGGTTATGTTTTAAATGTCCTGGTGCTGTTGTATGAAAAATGTGAAATTATAAAGAATTATTTTTAAAGTATTAATGACAGACTAAAATGTAACGGGCTTTGCTACATCAAAAAGCTTAAACAGGCCATGGACTAACATTGTAATACAAATATGCTCTATAACATGTGTAAAAGTTTTATTTTACCTCACTCCTCACTCATATTTGTAGAAACTTTAAGATCACACTGATGACAATACTTTGAATTGAGGATTTTTACTTGTAGTTGGGTTCTGAATTCTTCATTTTATCTTCAGTTGTATTAGTATTTTTAAATGTTATTTTTGTTTTGTTTCATTTGCCTTCCTTTCACTCCTCTGATTTCTTTGTGAAGCACTTTGTAACCGTGTTAATAAAGTACTATATGAACAAAGTGTATTATTATTTAGTATACATTTTTGTTGTTTTATTTGTTTTTTTAACAGGGACACATGCAATGAACTTTGCTTCATTTGTAAAATACAAAAGTAGATGCCATGCATAGAGGTTTCTAGCCGTGCCTAATTTGCAAACCCTGTCCCCGGCTTGTCTTGAAGTATTATTTATTTTCATTCAATGACTTTCACAGTGAGTAGTTTTACAACGACCACCCGGGAAATAGTCTACATTTTAGAACAGAGGAGCTATAGAGTTCACCTATCAAACAGCTTCAGTCTTTATAAAGAGAAATCTTAGCCTTCACAGACAGTTACTCACTGCTGTGATTGGTCAGGCTGTCGTGAGCTCGTTAAGGCTCAGTGTCGTGTCAGCTCATCTCTCTGTTGCTCTCATTTACTGATGCACACATAAACACACAGACGCATACACACACACGCTCCTCCTGCTATGACTGCAGCATACACACACCTTTCCTCTCTCTTGCCTGTATTTTGATGGATTTAATAAACGCACAGTGGGGGGATACATCATGGATGTTAAATGTCCAACAGCCAACCACTGACTAATGTTTTAATCCCCTCTAGTCTCGTAACCAAAAATAAAGCATATGTTTCACTGGAGTTTTCATTATCAAAGATCTATTTTTTTTAGCTCGCCAATTACGGAAAAACGGTCATTGATGAACATTTCCTCTCAGATTATGTGTTGATCAGTAAATTATTATCGTCATTGTAATGATATAAAGTAAAGGTTATTTGTACAGCAGATTTGAACACAGTTTAAACAGACCAAGCAACACACCACTAAACCGTCTGAGTGCGACGTGCATTGCTCTGCGAGACGCGGAGTGATGTAATAAGCTCACAAAGCACAGCAGATAATCAAAACACTTCTATCATCTTTTATCAATCAATTGTGGCAGCCCTAATGAAGAGATGATCAAAATGCTACAGCCATTAAAGTGAAAACAACTTCATATGGGATGTCAGGTCTAAAAAAAAAAAAAGATGCATCTACTGTTGTATAAATGACCCTTACATAAGAAGGAACAGAATTAAGACAAACCCAAAACTACCACTACTCTCCCTGAAAAATAACACAACTATGTAGACAAAGCATCGGAGTAAAATAAAATCTAAAGGCTAACTAATGACTGTGCAGGAAAAAAAGTCAAAGAGGCATGAAATCCATTTGTGTGTGTGTGAGGTAGATGTTAAGATGGGGGCAGGGCTGGAACTTTAGTAGGCTAATTAGCTACTATTATCTGTCGCGCCCAGTGGCCTGTGCCACTAATCCCACTGATTAAACACAGTGGGTCTCCACAGCTCCACAGCTCACAGCAGCAGCGGACTGATAAGGCCACAGAGCTCAGTGATGACATAAATGTCTTGGTGGGACTGGACTACACAGGACTGGCACTGCTCTGATTTGCATTATACAACAGGACACTGATAGGAGAATTTAAGGTTCTGTCTTGATACAGCCAATGCATACAAATAGTGAAAAGTTTCAAAGAGTTTCCAAACATCCACTCAACATTTACTGCAGCTCTTCTCAAACCCCGACACAATACTTCAGCTAAAATATCTTTGTGTTTTTTGCTATTCAGGGCAGTTTACAACGAAATGCAGCATTGCCCTCCAAATTTCAAAACACTTAAACTCCTGAACGGAAGCAGTAAACACTCCAGAGTGAGGACTCTTTCTGCATGCACCAATAACAGAAAACAATCAAATGCAGCTTATGAATGTTTATGATGCAAATCAAAGTTCCTCACACAAGTAATATTTGTGCACACTGTAATAATAAAAACCTTTCCTATCGCATCTGTGATTCTAAAAGCTAAATGTCCACTGGGAAGTGGCTGAGTGCTTTCATCAGCCGTGTTCTGATGGTGGCTAAAAGGTTACTGCATTTGTTTTTTTAAGCTCATCATTTGGACAGATGCCTCCCTGGAACTGCACTATCCATTGTCTGTGTAATTCCTGATTAATCGGGATGCTTTGAAATCAAAGCAGTTGCTCAGATTTGCACATAATGAAAATAACTAGCGTCCTGTGCGGAAGGTTCTGGATTTGTAAGTTATAAAGAGACATCAGTATTTATTTTAGTTTGTTTCACAGTCAGCTAAAACTCCTCACAAGCTTCAAGTAACAGTAAATCAGATGAACAGCCTACCAAAAACTATTCGCATTAACATCAAGTGAACCATGTGATTTAAGTTGAGTATGACATGACTTCTTGCAAAATTAAAATATCCACTCATCAATCATATAAATGATTTGCTTCACCGCAACATATTCAGGAAATAAAGACTTCATGCTTGAGGATACTCACAGTAAACATGGAGCGGAAGTTGCTGAGATCAGTGAACAGCTCCTCCACAGACGTCTTCTTGGGATCAACGGCAAAGTACTCCAGCATGTTCTGGTACAGGGTCTCCATATTGCTGTGCATGATCACCAGCTTGCCGTACTGCTCCCGTGCACCCTTGCTGAAGCTGTGAGGGCTGGGGTCAAGGTCAACGGCACATTCTTCAGAGTTTAAGTGTTAATTAAATGTTCCGACTCGCAGTCTGCACCCTTATTTGAGAGCAATGAACAACATAGTCAAACTATAAAAATATCTTCACACTTGTTGCCATAAGGGGAGAAACAAGCTGGAAAACCAACTGTCAGTAGTGACTGTGATGTTGGCATTCAGAGCTCTGATACTGTCACTCAGGTTACTACTACACTTTGTTCACTGCAGCATCCAGCATCTGTGACTCATGTCTGGCTGGTGGCAAAGTGTGCTGGTTTATTTGAAAGGCACAATTTTTTACTGCATATATAAACATAAATCAAGAAGAAGACAAAGTAATCTACTCTCAATTTAATAAGACTAAAATCCACAGCCTTGGTACTCATCCTTCCCTGAAGATTTGACCGTTTCTGCGATGTCTTTAAGAAACGCTCAGATTAGAAAATACTGAAAAGATTTATATTTTTTTCCCCTCTTAATGTAAATAAAAATGTGCTGTAACTTGTGAGAACTTGATCTTTGTTCTTTGGTACATCAGGTACATGTTTCTGTCTATGACATGGTGTCAATCAAGTTTTTCTCCGGAGGGAGATCGGTTTCAAGTGAAATAAAGCCCTGCTGTGTGCCTTTTAGTTTTTTTGGTCCAGTTTCCGGTAAGCAGGCCAGAGTCACCGTGTAAGTTGACTCCGCCTCTGTTTTAAAGAGACATCGCTGTCGCTGCACATCTCTAGATGTTGCTCCTCCACTCCCACCCCTCATTGTGCAACAAAGATTTAATTCTCCTTCTCTCGTGTCCAAGACCTTGAACGTCTGTATGTCATTTAACCTTGATCTTACTTTTTTTCTTCTTCACTTCCTCATTAAACTGCAAGCTCAGTGGTACATAATTGCCCTTAGATCGATAAACTGGGGGGGGCAAGTATGCAGGACCTTCAGACATGTGCAGTTGAAGAGAGGGGCAGACATGCACAGTAAGAACAGTTTTACCCAAACTAGGAAGACACAATCGGATCAAGTGTGTTCATAGATATTGATCCAAACAACTACCCGTATAAACCACCCTCTTGTTCTAAGGAAACTATTTTTTTAATGAGCCGGATTGGATAAGTCTCTTTCGATTAACGTGTTTACAACATAGCAGTTTAACATTTGTATTCTGATCAGGTTTTTATTCTGATTATTTGTGTCCATGTAAACACAGCTACTGACAGGGATCATTATTTTTACTTATCCTTCAACACAAAGAGATTTATTAAACATTTAGAATTTCATGAGGTACTGTGGCCTGTGCCCAAACTGACTAGAATGGAAGATTGAAGAGCATTAAGCAGGTCCTGCTGGTTAAACCCAGCAAAGCAAATGACAGCTCTGCTCTGCAGGATCATTTGTGTGTGAGTGTGGATGAGGACAAATGGATAATGGCTGTGTCAACATAAGCTGGAGGGGTGTCAGTGTCAAAGCAAAGTGAGAGGAGAAGTGAGAGCATTAATAAAGCTCCTGCCTACTACCAGAGCATAGTATCAAGTAAGTCTGATGTAAGTCACCACACAGAAAAAAACACACTTTCAATACTGAAACTTTCAAGGATGAATTTGCGGGTCAAATATAAAAATATATATCTTCTATAATAAAGACTCTCTTAGCAAAAGAATATCCTTTGCAGTCCACATGCCAACCGTGAACAACACAAATCTAAGCTTTTGATGTGTGATAAATAGAATCTAGAGAAAGAAAAAAAAAAGAGAAAAAAGAAAAAGAAATCCTTCTCATGACCCTGACCCTTTGTCTCATGGCAACTGAGAATGAGTAGTGTCTGTGTGTGTGTGTGTGTGTGTGTGTGTGTGTGTGTGTGTGTGTGTGTGTGTGTGTGTGTGTGTGTGTGTGTGTGTGTGTGTGTGTGGTATCACTCTTATGTGAGGTGGCTCTCTGGCTCCCATCGAGCCCCTTCATTATGCTCAATTGATGGACCTATTTGATGGCTGGCGTCAGTTGAATCTGGCTGGGGATGGGACTACCTATTCACAGCTGGGTAAATGCTGTTCAATAGGCCCTGCTCTCAGATTGACTTGTCAGTAATATCTTTCCAAGCCAGGAGCTGGAGGGGGGGGAAAGAGGCATGAGGAAAGCCGGAGCTGGTGATGGAAAGCAAGAGAGGTAGGAAAAATCGAGAAATAGCTGAGAGCCATGGTTGATAAGTATCATGGGGTGGAAAATATTGCTCCTGACTTCTACCCTATTCCAGAGAAAGCAATTGTTCACTGTTCACTCTTGCTTTCTTACAGATCTGTTACCCCCCCCCCCCGTGTGACTCCCATCATTTTTTCGCTTACAATTCTTCATTTGTTTATTCTACATACGTCTTTCTATTTTTCCCATGTTCAAATCTACCACCTTTCCAAACCAGGCTCACATTCAGATGAGTAAGGAAAGACCAAAAGCAAAGTTATGTTGTAGTTTATAATGTTTTCAGCTGGGGAATGTTGATTTCACGAATGGAAATAACGATTGCTGCCTTCATCAGGCATGAAGGCTTGAGGGCTTCTGTGTACCTTTCAAGAGGCTACTTGAGGATGAGCAGTGAAACTTGTTTGAGAGTGAAACAGCTTCTTTTTTTTTGCCTTTGCAATTGTACTTGATACATATATTGTAGCCTTGATGACTGTGTGACATTCCGAAAATAAATGAGAAAGCATCTGTAAAGGTCTATTATGATCAAACATCAGGAATGTTGATTAAAGAAAATCAATACATGTAAAAAATTTACAAAGACATTGGATTCTAAATTGATCTTGATTAAATGCTCAGAAAAATGTCCTGGTTGTACTTGTGTAAGTTAAGCTGTCTTAAAATAGAAGTTTGGTTTCTGTTTAAATACGTGACGGTGTTTGACTTCAGTTGCATTAACGTGAGCACAGTGTTTCCCCGATATGCTTCTAGGTGCACCACTGCTGAAATATGACCTCCGCTGCTGGGCTACAGCTTATCTCCTCGAGAAACTAACATTATACGAATTATTGCTACACACTCAAATGTAACCATCGTTTTGAAATAAATTATTCATTTTCTTTGGTACATTTCTGACTCCTCCTGTCTTTTGCCATTACCCATGAGCCAGGTTAAGACAATAGGGTGGTTGTTGGTTGATTATTTTGTCCAACAAATGTTAATAATTCTTTAAAAAAGAAAATCATTTTTAAAAATTTGAACGCAACTAAAACATTGTTCCACTTCCCCTCTGCTGCAACAACTCCAACCTAGGGGAAACACTGGAGCAACATGGTGTGGTTTCAAAAACAGATGGTTTGGTGTGAGCGTGACATGCGGATACAACATTTTGATCAAATGCTTGTTGGTAAAAACAGTAAAGCTCTTTAGAGTTCGTCTCTACATGACCGCATTTCTAGCTGACTTTTGTTTTTCTTGCCTTAACACTCAGGGTGAAACTTTATGTTTCATTTTGTGAAAGCCAACAGTGAGTTCAAATTATTTTTTAGTCAGATGGAGTTAAAGATTTTTCTTGCGAAGTTTAGACATTTTTTGACAAGTCACCTTAATTGGAAAGCAAAGCAGCGAAAGACAGAGCTGTCAAATCCATTCCCAGTGACCCTTTTTGGATTGCACTCAAGTTGTCTGCCAACTAGCACAGCACAAGCATAGAGTGCCCGAGCCCCCAGGCTATTGATCAAAACTACATGAAGGAGGCTAGGTACAGGGTGTATTATTGAACACACACTTACACACCTGGTTTGAGACATGTCCATCAACCTGATCCACTGGAACTACCTGAGAGAACAGTGAATAATTAACTGTGCTGCCAAGCAGGAATGGACAGCTGTCAGCAACAGACCCACACATCCACCCAAACAGAGCGGTGTAACAGTAAAGACAAAAAAGTGTATATATGTGTTGCTGTTTTTTGTTAAAGTGTTGTTTTGTTAAAATAACTTGCTGTTGTTTTGTCTCCAGGAAAGCGGCATAATCTGTAAATCAACATGTATAGATGCACACAATGTCATATCATTTATATGAAATAATCTATTCACATGCTGCTCCTTTGCACAGATGTAGGCCCTATTTTTCTTTTAGAAGCTGATGGTCTATTTCTGATTAAATAAACCGAAATATCTTTTTTTAATGAATAAACATACTCTGGGGCTGATTCTACCAGTTTTACCTTCCCCTTCATACTTTAGTTGACCCCAGTGTGAAGGACCATTTAAAGGAGAGCTGAGAGGACTTGTGATATAAAGACTAGCGGTGAAGACGCTGCCGTAAATGACTTGAGCTCACAATCAACAGTGTATCTTTGAAACAGGGTGATAGAGTTGTCTTTGCAGCCTGTTTTTTTTTATCTTTTTAAAAAAAAAAATTTTTAACTTTTGTCACAGCCCTCATATGAACTAAGCAGAGAAAATTATGTATTTAACGGGAGAGGCAAATAAAAATAATAAAAAAACAGTTTTCAAATGAGTTTTTAGTCATTTAAACATTAAAGGAAATGTGGGTGTTTGATCGGCCACAGCCTTGAGAGTCCTTTCCCTTTTTAACACAAGTTCAGTTGCAGATTAAGGTATGAAAATGTGCTCCTTTATCAACCTCTGTGTCCCCACACGGTTTAAATTAAACATACAATTTCAAGTTCTAGCAACATTCTGCAAACTTTTGGTCTGTTTGACTCATTACACGGACTGATGAGTGAATAATCCATGCATGTGTAAAGGATATAGCCATTTTAGTCAAGAACATGTCGTTGGGGTCATCAGGGGAGGAGAAAGTCTCCAGGTCTCTCTCCAGCTGCAGCAGCTGCCGCTCCATCTGCCTCAGGCTCTTTTCCAGATTCTCTGCAGACACTGAAAGACACCCACGTATGAACAGTTTGTATATCAAGACACACACACACACACACACACACACACACACACACACACACACATACGCAAAAGCACACAGCAACACACTCATGTGCAAAGGAAAGATGAAAGGAAGAAACAGTGAGAGGGCAACTAAATTACAGGTACAATCAAATTCATTATTATTTTTGACGATCTCAAAGAATCAGAGAATCACAACGTTCAAAAATAACAGGGAAAATGAGAGAGGAGCTCAATTGCATAGGATGGTTATTATGGGTTCACACTGCGCCAGAACCATCACGGGAATAAACAATGACTGAAGAAAAAATAAACATCAAGCGAAGGTGTGTTCGAGGCACAGCTTATTATTCTCTGCCTCTTATATGCTCATGCGTACGTCGTAAACAACTACATAATACAATGCCCTCACTGACACTCAAACTGAAGTGAACGTCTGAAGTCCCAACTGTCTTTGCTCATATTTTAAAAACTGTATGTGTGGCTGTTCAAGAAGACAAACAGAGGGGCAGATTTATAACTGCAGCCTTTAAGTACGAGGATTTAAACTTAAGTAGAAATCCTTCTACACCCGTCATCCTTTGTGTTTAGTGTTTCCAACAGGTGCACAGTTCACACAGGTGGGGGAGCGAAGGAAAACTGAGCCTAACTTTCTGTTAAGTTGGTCATGGCTGACACTTTAAGCTAGTCCCTGAATATATCATATGGTTTAAATTACCCTGATTAGACCCTGCTTGACAAAAAGGCATAAGCAGCTTATTTTTAAGTAGTTTCAAATGTCCCTTGATCCTAATACATGCTTAAAGAAAAGGAGGGGGAAAAAGGGAGAGGGAACAGCAATGTAGCTTAGCTTCTCACTGAATTTATAACATAAACCCCATTTACTGATGGGAACACTCTGTCTTGGACACATACACTTATTCAATCCGACATCTTGAGTACAAATAATCTAAAAAGTCTGCAGTAGCTGAATTTGTTCATTTTCTTTTTTGAATATTTGAGTTTTATGCAGTTAGTACAGTGTTTTCACTGTAGGTAAAGGTGAGCATGTGCATGTTCATACACAAATTACACATGCATGCATCGATTCAGCCAGGTGTGGGGACAAGCAGGAGAGATGTTTCATTCTGCTGTCACTCATGATAGAGAAAGAAGGCTAAACACTAAAGAAAAGGGTAGGGATGTGTGTGTGAGTGGGGGTGAGGGGGGGGTGTATAATCCAATATAACGCTGACTTAAGTGCATCCAATGCATGTCTGCCTGACCTATGATTTTGATTGATTATGATTACCTATATCTATTTCGTCTGTTTAAAATTATAGCATGCTTGACTTTTTTCTTTTTTTTTCCCCCTCACACTCTTCCTCCCTGTCTCACATGGTTAGCGAATAGTTAACAGTCAGCTGAAGGCGATGGAAATGCCACAGCACACCATTCCTTTAAAAATCCTGTCACAGACTACACTGTGACCGATGATGTCTCAATCACAAAGCAACTGCTCTGCACTGACCGACCAAGAAAATACCAAGCCATCTTGACCGTGAAGAAAATAATATAAAGAAATGAGAAGAAATCTGTAAAAGCATTGATTAATATTCACATGTAAAGGAAGTTTGATGAGGAAGTCATATGGTTTATTAAAACAGTAACACAAAGTTCAAATTTAAAGCCTGACATTATCAAATGTTTGGAAACCACAGTTGAAAAAGGTAACATTTGTCTACTGAATGCTCCTCATAACAGACTAAACATCGTTATGAAAGAAGGAAGGCATCGAATAACTGACTGAGAATGAAACATTCTGAGTTATATTTGTGCTTGTGAACAGCATTTGATAATTGGCATGACATTTTACCACTAGTTATACCAGTTCATATATAAATGTTCAAATGTATTATTCATTAAATTCATGTAACACAAATGGTAGTAATAATAACAATAATAATAAAAAGGAATCACACAAAAGTTCATGAAATGTATTATATATCCGTATTGCTTACATGTTATAACTTAAACATACATTCTCAAGAGAGAAAAGCTTCAGTATGTTGGAATTGTCTGAGTGACAAATTTACATATTTTTTGTTTCAGCAAGTTTTATCTCTTCAAAAAAAGAAAATAACAAAGGTTTTGTATCACAAAGTACCTAAAATGTGGAAATTATCTATGTTAGCATCAAAGGGTGCAGTCAGGTTGTATTCAGTCTCGCAGTAGTTCCAACCAAAGTCACACAAGAACTCACAGTGAATTAATATCAGTAATCTAAAGAACAATAAAACAGAACAACAGGGCCTCTTAGAAAACCAAGATTCAGATATGCTTATTAACTGTGGTCACGACAGAGGAGCAGAGGTGTCGTAATCTTTTTAAATATTCAAACTGTTCTCTTTCGAGCCTCTAAGGTCTTGTTTTATTGTACTATAGGAAAAAAGGTATGTGACTTAAATGCGGCTTTTGTGAATATGTTTCGACAAGTCTTCCAGTGTGACCGAGTTTTTCTTGCAGAGAAGACATCGTTTCCTATAGTGACCAATCATCATTTGATTATTTACACTGCAGTAAGTTCAGGTGACACTTGTAAGCCATGCAAATGTATATAGGAGCTATCTATTTTTCACAGACTTGCATGAATATGATCATTTCCTGTTTTCTTTGAACCTCTCTTCATGCAGTGCTGATGGATATATTCCTCTGTTGTCCTTTAAAAGTGTTCTTGGAAACAGGATTTAGATATGTTCACAGTATGAACATGTGTTAACCATAGACTGTAAATGGTGTTAACATTTGGACCACTTAGCTGATTCTGATTGACACCATTGAGCCTTGACGAAATAATAAATTATTTCATGCATTTGACCCATGCCCATTAGGATAGACACAGTCCTGCAAAGCATCTGAGTAAACAATCAGGGACAGCCTATACACCTGCTCTATAATTTCTAGAGCTGGGTATGGTCCACAACAAATTCAATTTGATTTCAATTATTTGGGTCACGATTCCATTTGATATCGATTCGACATTGATTTAATAATACAGGCAGGTGACAGGAATACCCAGATAACTCATCACAGTACCTTCTGATATTTGTTTTATAATTAGGTGTGCATTGTTTGTATTGGTTTAGAGCAAACTGACTCAAAAATATATTTAATCATTGAATTATTATTTAATAAACAAAGAATAAAACATTTAAGTACAGTATGAGCTAAAGTGCACATTTGTGCCTGAGCTGAATTTGTAGCAAAATCTTAATAAACATAACAGTGCTGTAATGGCTTGGACAAAGCCATTACGTCAAGTGCACAAATGTGCCTGACCTGAATTCACAGCACCCACAGTGCCCCCAGTGGAGAGGGATGTTATTTAAAAAAATCGATCCCAGGATTTCCCTGAATCGATATTGAATTGGGAAAATAATAATTACAATGCACTGATGAATCAATATTTTTAACCAGCCCTAATCATTTCTATTTTAAATATTCACCATTTTATGTAAGCTTTCTGCATAACCAGGCAACCAAAATCTGCTGGATGAGGTGTGGGCAGCATGCTTAAGTGGAAGAAGACCAGACAGATAATATTTTAATAGAAATGATTAAAGCCCAGTGATTCAGCACTGACTGAGACAAGAGCGTAGGGTGAGATGGAGAGAATTAAAGAGTGACCCTGTCTTTTCTTTGCTTCACAAAACAAGCTGCAAGCTTTTGGCAATGAGGCTCCCTCAGGTAAAAGGGAATACGACCACGATCAGGAGTGGGAGTGCAGTACAGCAGCTGGAATCTTTTGTTAAACAGAGAGATGTTTTTAAAACCAAGGTGCAATATAAGAAGTCCCATCTGTCATTGACAACTAAATTTTTTTAGTTTTGAAATAATCGGTCTGTGCCAAGACTGTATTAAATGAGGAAATTGGAAATTGGAAACAGCACAGGTGAAATAATGACAACAAGGAGTTAGTGCACAGGTTTTAGTGGAAACATGACGTACACACCAGAGAACAAGGCCAAATTATCGTTTGAGCTGCAGCTAAAGAGGGCAGATGTCTTTTGTAAAAGCCAAAAGAAATTGAACAAGGTGCACAAAAGCTGCTGTGACAGTGAAACACTTTCTTCAGATTTATTTTGTACTTTTTGTTCCCTGATTTTTATCCTGAAACATCTTCAGTGATATTTTTTATACTAGTTTAAGTAATTGCTTAGGTTTGTTAAGATGATGAGGAGATCTCTGTCGATAAATCAGCTCCTAATAAAAAAAAACTTTGGAAGGATGAACGTTGAATGAAACCCAACTTTATCAAGCTTATCTCCTTGAAAAACTCGAGCTGACGTTAGAGACTGTTTTTTACAATGCTTTTATTGTGTGTGTTTATATTATGAAGACAGAGAAAATGATTTTATAGTGCAGTCTAACTCACTGGTTTGGTGACAAACAGGTCTCAGAAAATAAAATAAAAAATCTGTTCAAAGCCGTCTTTGTTCTCTCTCTGGCCACACTGCTGGTGCCTTCTCTCTGTGTGTGTCTTAAAACACAAATGATTTTAAAGAGCAGTTGGGTTTGAATGCTGCTGTGGTCCAGAGGGGTTGTAGACAGATATAGGATGTTTTAGAAGAATAATAATTGGAAAATTGCAGAGGTCAAATCCCCTATTGACATCCTTTTATTACCCTGCCAGCCTGCTGTGCTATAAATGAGACAGAGTGGAGCATACTTGCTCACAAACAGCCCTGCTGCAAACAGAGCTCCACTATAGATCATCCTGTGATATATGGAAATGAAGGGACTGGAAAGCACAGATCTGCCTACTGAGGCCAAAGCCTGACAGACAAGTGTGACTAGACTGATGGTGCCTGAGGCTGGGAGCTGGAGACTTGTAATGCAGGAACTCCTGGAGCACACACCGAGCATCTACTACATACAAAAAGAGCATGAAGGTCACCGAGTTGCTAGACTCAGTGTAGAAAAGACTGCTCGTTGTAAATACTTCCAACCTGAGGCTCATCACTCACACTGCATGCGGCAAATACATAAAACAAATCTTAAACTGGATATTAGAGCGGCATCTCAATAAGGCTGAATCCTCACATTATTCCTTAATGACTCCTCAAAGCCACCAGCCTTGAACAGAAACTGAAGCAAATCTGCTTTTCTGTTTTTGCTGCAAAATAAAATGTATGCAGACATTTCCATTTAGTGTCACAGAGGGCTTTTTAAGTAAGCAATGTCTCTCCTGCTGGCAGGCGCTTTCGGAGAGTTACAAGCTCAAGTAGCCTGGATGAGAACATGAACGTCTCAGTGTTTGCCTGATAACCAACATCAAACTCAGCATCGAGTACCAAGCAACAAACAAACGTAATTGCCTAAACTTGACTTTTGTTTGTGTGTGCTTTTGATGAGGAACAACATAAACACAGACAGGGAAGAAAAGGGGTGGAGAGCGACTTTAATAGACCTAAACCAGACAGAGGCAGAGCAGAAGGCTAGACAGACAGATACAGAGATATATTGACAGACTGATAAATACCAGTACAGAAAGAGATACATACATAGAAAAAGACAGCGGGAGGCAGCACACAAGGACTGCTTCTTCATGTCAGGAGAATTAATGATTGTAGCACTGAAAAGAAGAGAGTGGGGCAGATATAAGACAGCCGACACAAAGGAACCCGGAACTAAGCAGCACTTTTGCTTCCATGAGAGAGATTGACAGTGGTGGTGGTGGTGGTGGGGGGGGGGGAGGCTGTCCTCAAATACAGTGACGTTCACAACAGAAACCAGGTCATTACGGATACCTCTATCCAACCCTGTTTTCATGCTCAAGTAAGCCCTTTGGTTAGCGTCTACCAATGTATTGCCGTCTTTTAGTGCGTCTTCAGGGCCTCCTGAATGGCTGTCAGACATGATGAAAAGGAAGCCATTCAAGAGCATGGCTCGCAAAGACGAAATGTGATTTGTGTGTCTGAATATTAGATATGGTGAGATTAGACACTTAGTGTATGAATCTCATTATGGTACAGAAACGGAGAGAGATGGTAGCAGAGAAAGAACATATATATGCAAATATATACACAGCTAGGGGTCTGTGAAGTAAGGAGCTGGACCAAGCTTGAAGAGAGATCCAAGGATTGAGATTTCTATTGATCTCAACCTTGTACCTATGAGACCAGGCTAAGGGCTTGTGGACACGCAGCACAGTAGGGAGAAATGACACACTCAACAGGAGCATCGTTATCCACAGATTATTGAAGCGCCAACAAAACCTTGAGGGGTCCTTAACGAGGAAGAGTCCAAATAATAAAGCCACACATTTCATCCCCATTCTGTTTTCTTCTCCACACCCTTTCCTTCACTCCCTCCTGCTGGGAATGGAGCAGCAGGTAAAATCTTCTTTGGAGTGGCAAGAAACACGCTGTGACAGTAGAACTGCCCAGGAATATATAGTTGCGAACACACAGACACACACAGACAGGCTGTACACAGACTGCTAGCTTCCTCCGGAGAGTTGCCTATGGCAATATGAACAAAAACATGACAGAGTCTCCTCTGACCACCCACTCTGTCCCTGCCTGCCTCTGACCTTTATCGTTCTCTTGATGCACTGGCCCAACTCAGTGTGGAGTGTTTGTGCATACACGTGTGCATGCCTCTGAATCAAATTGGTTCATTTTTTGTTGAACTGACACAGACTGTCAGACTTTAACTACTTTTAAACAGTATATTGTTCCTCTTCCAAGAATGACTTGAAATATGCTCTTGAAAAAGAAGCCTATAACTCTTGTGGATGTTCTACAGCAGAGGACTAATGTAAGTATCAAGCAGCAGTGCATAGGAGCAGAGTATAGCATGGATCAAACGATACGCTGGTAAAATAGCTGTAACAATGCATGTTTACAGAATCAACAAGCATCTAATGCCTGAATACTCTCCAGGGAATTACCAAAGTAGAAAGGTGCAGGTAAAGCTAAAAGTAAAACAAGAATACACAATAGGAATGTTGCATTGCCGTCTGGGTAGTGTACTCTCTGATATGGATGTTCTGTTTATTTATGAAACTCTCTTTAAAGACAGAGTCAGTTCCTCTTTCCTTAAAAATAAAATAAAGACAAAAGTAATGCCGCTCCATCGTCACAATATTGGCCTTCATACATGTGTGGTAGGGAAAGTAGCTGACCCTGTCCTCTGCTCGCACATACAGCCTTTGGTCGTAAGTTAACATTCACATGCCTGTGCTCCATGTGGTCACGCATTGCTCCCACTGATAAGCTTTTTTTCCTTCTTGCTTTTTTTAAAGATACATTTTGGGCTTTCTATGTATTTATTGCAGAGGCAGGGCAGTTGATAAAGTCAAAACTCATGGGCTCAGAGGGAGAAGGGAATGACGTGCAGGAAAGGAGCCACAGGTCGGATTGGAACCTCGGCTGCTCGCTTGGAATACTCTGTACCTCTGTACAGGGGCGTGCAAACTAACCACGGGGTCACTTGCACCCCTGACATGATATTTTAACATGACACAGCCTACATAGTCTTTTCTCAACTTTCTAAAATCAGGATACTGCTAGACCGCACTGCCAGTACGAGATTCTACCAGTTCACTGTGTTTGTTTACATCAATGGAGGGCAGAGCAAGAAGTGAAGGCCCATTAGAAAAGTTACAGCCTGTCAAGAGCTAAAACCTGGCTTCAGCTAGTGGCGGGAGGCTGCTTACAGTTTGAGCACAGAATTTGACCATGTTGTTATTCCAGGGTAGACTAGGCAGGGTGACAATGTTTAACCATAGAGCTGGATAGTTATACATATCCTTAGTTCAAATCCAGCCAAAACAAGCTAACATGAAAAATGTGACGTCTGTTTAGCATTCATGATAGAATACATTCAAATGTAATATAACGCCCTCACGCCTATTTAACTGAATCTCCTTTTCAAATTGGACATTATCTCTGAGTTGAGGTGCAGTGAACTTGATCCAATCTCTCTTCTGAGGTTACTTTAGAGGTAGAAGTAATTTGTATTGTGTTCCTTCACTGATTTAAAATGACACAATAATACAAAATGAGGGTTCATGATATCAGTAGTTAATATAGCTGGACGGCCCACACAGCTCATTATCTTTTCATTAGGCTCACCTTTCCATCGTTTACCATAGTTACTGTCCATACCGTCACAATTGTTTGTGTAACGTGATAGATCTAAATGGCCACCATTAAGGGTTCTAAGTTTCTAATATATTATTCGGTCTTTGGCCTTTCAGTTGCTCGAGAAACACTTTGAACTGAAGATGACATTAAAGGCCTTTCTCATGTAACTCAGAGCTAAACAGCCTGACTCTTTTTGAGCTTCACACCGACTGTCACGTAGAGCCGCAAAACCAAGTGGAAAAATAAGCTCTCTGGTTTGTTTGTTTAAAAAGAAAAATCCAACAAGTTTTATGAATCATTATGAATTCAGAAGCCCAGTTGGCAAAGCCCTGCCGGTAAACACCGCAAGGGATGTTGATTTGAAGCGTATTGGAGGAAATTGTGCAATAGGAGAGCGTAAGAACTTCAGAACTTCCAAAACACAGAAATAATCATGCTGATATATTGTCTCAGAGAGAGTGGGAGGTAGATTAGGAATTAGAATAATCAAGTAGAGAAGTTGCTGTTACTTGATAATTAAAAGGGGATCCTTAAATGTTTAAAGGGGGAAAAATAATGGATGTTGAGTAAATAGTTCCCACTAAACAACAATGCTTTTGTGTCCTTTAGTAGATTCAGGTTTGGTTTTATGAGACTCATTGTATGCTTGTGTTTGAATACAGAATATATATAAATTACCTCTGCTAGCTCGGTCCACATGCTCCAGGTCTTCAACAAACTTGATCACCTCTGGAAATTCTTCCTCACACACTTGAGCCAGGAAGTGGAGTAATGTGGTCTTTTGGTCCGCTGACTTAGTGTCCTTTAGCTGTAGCCAAACACAAATACACACAAGCTTAAATATACACACATAAGACTTAGGACAGTAAATGATTCATTTCCTTTCAGAGCCTTTAGATTCAAACTATTAGTGTACAGATTTGAAAGAGGGTGATGGCTAATTTCAATGTCACTGATCTTATAAGTATTGATTTTTTTGTATAGTCAGTGATCTCCCTTTCACAGAAAAGGGGACACAATTTTTTATAAATGTATGTACATTTCATCATAATCAGCTTACTTTAGACACCTTGTTTTGTAGTCAAAAGTGAGGTCACTATCTTTTTAATGTACCGGTACTGCATGTAGCCTTTTTTATTATTTAAAGGAAGAAAACAGGCATTGTTGAGTAATCTCTGGTGAGGGTTGCTTTTGTAGCAAACCTTGGAGAATAAAAACAAAGTACATACAAAAACATTTGACCTAAATATGATTAAGTTGTAAAGTTGTAGTGAAAAGTAGGAATCACACCTCTGAACAGACTGGGGAGACAGAGATGCTAACATGCAATTTAGACTGCAAACTGATGTGAGCAGTAGCTGTGGGCAATATGAACTGAGAATCATATCATGATTTGTTTCATTGTTTTTTTCTTTTCGTTTTGTGGTAAAAGTATTATTTTGTGAATGAGATCAGTGAAAGATGTTTTTATAAGTCACTGTGGTCACTTCTCAGTGTGTTGTTGTTTGTAACTGAACCTGTGTGGTTATACGTTTTGTTTCTCTTCTGCAGAGTATTGTTAAGTTGCTCCTGCTGCAAACTCCCCATTTCACATTATGACTCCTACAAAATAAAAGGATTTCCATGACACAATATATGGGGGCTTTTATTGTGAAGGATTGTGTGGAAATAGAACATGTTTTTCATTGAATTAAATTAGCTTAAGCTGAGCTACAATTAGCAGCGATTTTCTATAACACTTTCCGGAGTTAGAGTATGTACACGTTCAGCCGCTCCTTTGACCACGAGTCACAGTCATACTTGTAGCTGGCGTCTTTAAATCATCTTGGACAATTAAGACAAGCGAGACATCAGTTTAAACATATCTTCAGCAGGTAGACCCATGAAGTAGAAATGGAGAAGCAAGACAACTAGCAGGAAACTAATGTAGGTTGTTGTTTAAAGTCTGTGGCTCGTTTGTTTTGTAGCAGGCTGATGTCTTCTCCCTCGATAGATAAATGATGTCACTGCTTAATACAATATTTTCATTAAGGTATGACATTACATTGACTTGACTTACATTGAAAAATATAAAAAGAAGTGCCACTATTATACCAAAAATCTAGAAAACAGATTTCTGTTGTGTATATTGGAGAAAACAATCAGACAATCAATTGGACTTTTGTTGCTTCAGTAGAGACTTAAAAAATGACTTTTTTTTTTTTTATAACCACATCTGCTGGATGAAACGTGACAAAGAAAAATGTCCTTCATTCAGCTACTGTAAGGCCATTCAGTAGCTTAATACATTTTCAGTTTTGAAAGCCCTATAGAGGATTTCAAGCCTTGCACTCATAAAGCAGACTCAAATTCACAATGTGATGACCTTTTCTGTGCTTTGTGCCTCTCTCTCCCTCCCACCACATACAAACATTTTTCAATTTCTCTGACAAATTTCCATCATAGCTCTTTTACAGTCTAATTCCAAGATGTCTCTCAGTACCCCCGCCAAACATCCCTCCTGTGGAGTGCGTTGCTATGTATCTCTCTAGGTGATCTATTGGTAGACAGCAGTGTACTCAGCCCCGCTGGGTTTAATCATGTTTGTATTATCAACTCTAATCAAAAATTCTCATCTCTCTTTTCATTTCTGTTTTCCTATTTTTTCAAAAGCTTCAAGTGCTTGCTCACAAAAGGCCCCTCTTTGAATTTAGATGGATGATAATCATAGTTGACAATGTAAACATTTTGCTTTTTCAGTCAGGCTGGGTGCAATTTTCCTGTGCTGTGGAGTGTGCCATGGAATTAAGCTGTCAAACTCAGGGGGGCAGGCACGAAGGTGATGTCTTCCTGTGTATATCCTGCATCTGACATCGACTCACACCTTTGCTCCTCATCATACAAGCATGGAGCAGCAGAAACACTTGAAGAGGCATTAGAAATGTACGAAACACACAATGCACTTCTACTAAGACGTTTATTAATTGATGAACGTAATCCATCATGTACCGGTATGTGCAAATCCATGTTTGTGTAGGCACATACCCTGGTGTTTATGGTGTATATTAACATAAGCACCCATGTCTAACAGGGCAGGGAGGTGGCAGTGATAAATGGCTGCCGTGGTTGTTACTGTGGAAAATGCAGCGAGTGTGCTAACAGCTGTAACATAACCGTCGTAGTCTCCTACTCAGGGATTACACTCTGTTCTGAGCATCGCTATCATCAAGGAAAACCTACTTTTCTGCTGTCATGCAATAGAAATTCAAAGGTATAGATATGTGCTGTGCCTTTAGTGCTGTGGTGTGTGAAAACTTTTAAAGGGGTGCTAGCTATGGCCTCAGTTATCTATTCCGAGCAGGAGAAATAGAATAAAGTACTCCCTGGGTTTAGCTGCTTTGATAGAGGCCAGCAGATAGAGAGAAAAAAAAAAATAACTTGCCTTGTGGGGCTGATAGTGTTCAATCAAATGAAATAGTTTCAAACAAAATGTCTAATCACAGAAGCCACTTCAGATCCCTTCTCTGATAGGGCTCAGCAGATGTGACATCAAATAGCAACCCCATAATGACATTCAAATAACTAACACTGCTATGAAGCCATGCAAGCACTGAGACTACAACACACACAGAGACAGGCATGCACACACAACATTGACATGTGTGTGTGCGCACAACTTCCTTCTGAAAACTGAGTCTCTTCCAAAGTCATCCAATATGCCCTTATAAACTCTGATAAGATGGTGTGATTGGTTGATCGTATTTGGGACAGGGTATTGTACTTACTGTATAGCACCAAATGGAAGCACAATATAAGCCTAATGCAGCCTTTTTACAAATGATGTCTTGACTACTTGCAATCAGGAACTGCAGTGAATGGCATTACTAGAATCGTGCAGCTCTATTTCAGAAACCCTAAAATATTGTGTTTGTTTTGTATCTGGTCTCAATTCTATCTGATTTAATGCTGTGGCTGGTATATTTTGTGAAGCTGCTATCACAGCTGGCTGAGCTATTTGCTTAAACTTTGTTAAATCATTTCCACTGTGGGGATACTAGACTACTTTTTGTATGTAAACAGTTGGTGGTAAGCTCAGCATTTGAACCCTTACCTTGCAGAGTGAACTGAGATCAAAACCATATGACTGGGCGTTCCGAGAGCCCGCGTTCATGTAATTCCCGAGCAGAAGCACCAGCTCCAGCAAGCGGCCGAAGGATCGGCTCTTCCTGACCTCGTCACAGGCAGCGTTTACGGCCAGGATGTCTGGACGTAGGTTGTTTACCTGCTCCTCAAACTGCAGCCGAAAGAGGATGTGGCTGAGGCGAGGACGCAGCCGCTTCACACAGCTCATCTGGGAGAGGAGAACAGAAACGGAGAGAGCAAGGTTGCATGAAGGAGAAAAAGAGAATGATGCAAAAGGATTAAGTGGGCGATAAGAAAAGCAAGAGTAAGAATATGATGTCAAAGAGAGAACAAAGTCAGAGAACATAGTTGTACTTATAATTACTAGAATTGCACTTTTTGCACACACATTCAGCCCATCTAATTTAAAAGACATTTATGCAACCAACGCTGTAAAAGTGTTGCTAGGCAGTAGTAATAGATGCTGGCAGTGATTTGATTTGGGACCCAGGTCTGGTAAGTTAATTGCGGAGTTAGTGTCCATATAGGGCAAAGAGTGGAGGGGGTGGAATATACAATAGGCTGCCTTGGATTACCACTCTCATACAATTAGAGAAAATTGGAAAATATTGCACTGGGCCCAGGGCTTGGCCACAACAGTGATTGTGTACGTGTGCAGGGTGGCGGGGAGGGGCGCAGGTTCCAATTGTCTGTTTCACACAACAGCTGGCTGTGCAGTTTGATGTCCTCCATCAAGGGTTTAATTATAGCTACTGTAATGTTATCAAATGACTATTTCAGTCGGTGAGTGAGTGACTGTGCTTGTGTGTAGTGTGTGTGTGTGTGTGTGTGTGTGTGTGTGTGTGTGTGTTCTGGGTGTTTTTGTAACAGAGAAAAGGAGAGGGATAAAATGGGCATGAGAAGAATTGGAAGAAATTAGAAAGTATTAAGGTGAAGAACCAAACATAATACTGAAATTAAGCCCATAGATTTTGTAAATTATGTGAAAGTGATATTGTTGTTGAAAGAGGGATATATATATATATATATATATATATCTATCTATCTATCTCTATCTATCTATCTATCTATCTCTCTCAGAGGAAGAAGAAATAAATATACAAGGGTACATGCATAGTGAACATGTGAAGAGGTTTATCTATAACCACCATAGAGAGCATCTGATAAATGTGGGATTCTTAAATCCTGGCTCACACTAAAAAGTTAAAAAAATATTGAAAATGTGAGAGACCGCCACACATGACAACAAATAATGATAGATTTAGAACTGTTCACATTTCACCATTCACAAACATTTTGTGGAGTCCTGGCTCCACAGAAATTTGAAATATCACAAAATCTCTTTTCAAACGCGACTTCCACAGAGTGTGTGCTCAACTGTATTCGGGGTTCTCCCCAGACAACAGGCATTATATCACATTTTAATATTACACGTTTAATACTTAATAATTATTATGATGATGATATAAGGCAGCATTAAAAAAAAAGAGGACAAGTCCCAAGATACAGTAGCAGGAGGGACAGCAAAGACAATGGGCTGCTGATACACGTATATCCTGGATTTCTCTAATTCTATCTATTACAGTCCATTTACATGAAAAAAGATTTGTGTGGGTAATTATGTTGGCTACTTGTAATAGATTGTGGAGTGTCAAAAACAATTTACAGCTACTGTACTGTAAAGAGCTGACTTTAGTGGAAACACATTACAGAAATTAATACTCTGTAGGAAAGGGAAAAGCTGCTCCTGCCTTTTGACTTCCTGATGCGAGGAAACATTAACTTATTCATGTAGCTGCACAAAGAAGTGTTAAATTATTATATGACCCTCTTGTTGTTATTTCATTTTAAAATGCTATCACGACTAATCATTAGAATACACTACTACTACACACTACCACTCACAAGGTAGTTCAAATCAAGTGTAAGAGTGGCGGACATGAAAAAAAAAGAAAGGGTAAAACGCATGTGTTTGCACATTGGTGAATTAAAAATTCCCTTTGAACCTGAGCTTTTCTGAAAGGTGAAAGCACACAGGCATCCTTGGGCCCACGCACACACGGCAGTGAAACAACATTATATAAGCAGGCTGTTCTTTGTTGTATTCCTCCCTGATGAACTATACACAACAGCTGAGCATGCGTTATATTTTATCTCTCCCCCCAATCAACCGCTCAGTCACTGCATTTTCAATCAGTGATAAGAATCTCCTGCATGGGTGGGATCGAACCAGGTAGGTGCATGGGGCAAAGGCCTGAGATTATTATATGATTTTGTCAGAAGCTTCCTAACTAAGCAGAAACAAAAAAAAGAATCCAAAAAGTGTTGCACTCCTCAAACCTTTGAAAAGTCTTATTGAAAACGATCCTGAAATAATAAGGGAGCCTTGGAGCTCTAATGTGCATAAATTAGTGTCGCAGTCCCATAGACTGTAAAGTGCAGTCCACAGCCTGTGGACCACATGTGTCCTGCTTTTCCTCTTAAGGATTACACTGTGTCCTAACAGCACGCAAGCATTGGACATTGCATCCTGCACGCTAAATGTACACACTGCATCCGTTGATTCTCGGCTCTGTCAATTTCAGTGAACATTAAAACAGACTGTGCTTTTGAATCGAAGGTAGACAAACAAAAGAGTTGGGCTTTGTATTGATGAGCTATACACTTAAACCACAACACTCAGAGGCTCGACAATAAATAGCTTGTGGAATTAAGTTTTTCTGCGGTGTTCACATATGTCAAAGTGCGACATTTCAACAAGGATATGGATATTATTAATGCACCATTGTCTCCACTTTGTAAAACAAGCTAACAAGCTCTGTTGAGCAAAAAAAAAACGCGTGCCAATGCCTTGTAGAGCCCCCCTCCTTTCTTGTTTTGTTGGTACACGAGCGGCAGATAGATAAATAGAAAAGTAGCGTTGGGGTACAAACGATGCTGTGCATTGCGTCGCCCGCAGGAAACAATACAGTCAGGCAGATTTTGTCATCCATGCTTGCTCCTGTTGCATGCTGTTAGGACAGGCTGTTACAAAGATAGAATTCTAAAAAAGATCAGGATTAGGAAATATTCATATATAAGTGTCCCGTGTGTTTGTGTTGAATGTGCGTCTTTAAAGGAGAGTGAAAGAAAGGGAGGGATATGTAAATAGTAACAGACCAGCTTTATAGAACTATGTGCATCATTATGTTCTTTTATACACAGCACACCCAATTTTATCTTAGTCAATACATAATACACAAGAGTTTTTGAGTTGTATGTGTAATGTGTGTGTGTGTGTGTGTGTGTGTGTGTGTGTGTGTGTGTGTGTGTGTGTGTGTGTGTGTGTGTGTGTGTGTGTGTGTGTGTGTGTGTGTGTGTACTCACCACAACCCCAAACTGCTCGGGCTCTGACAAGTTTGTGTACTCATTTTTATACTTGGCCAAGGCGTTGAGCTGCTCCTGCTCTGGTAGGTGCTTCACAAGGTTCTACAAAGAAGAGAGAGAGAGAGAAGAAAGAAAAGAAGTTAAGAACAGCATGGAGGGAATCCGAGCAGAGAAAAGAGAACGGTGTGTATTCATCAAAGAATGTATTCAGTGTGCTAGCGGTGTATTGGTGCCTGACCCTCTTTATTAATTGTACTCTGTGTGACACATTTTCATTTTTCCTTTGCTCCACCATTTACAAAGTTTGCAGCAGGTGGATTGGCTGTATCTGGGTTCAAACTGTAATATGGTTTCCCACGGTCCATGCCTGAGGAGAGATTTTGTGTTTTTGTGTGAATTTCATTCCGAATGGGCCTCAGGACTCGGACTCTAATCTAACCTACTGCTGTTTTATTTGCTGTGTGTTTTGGTTTCAGTTTCAGCGATGATGCTGAGCTTCAGTAAAAAATAATATTCTGTAACTTGCCATAAAATGTTTATTATCAAACATAGACTTAGACAACCGAAGGGCTACATATGTATGTAGACAATTGAAAGTGAAAAAGTGATTAGATTATTTAAACAGCCAAGAGGGATAAATGTAAAATAATTAAAGCCACTGTGATTGCATTGCCTTTTCATTTGAATCTAACAGCCATCTCAACAAATACTGCTACTGTGTGGTAAATATGTCGGCCTAATGCATTTAAATTGGGTCGGAAATCTGTCCCTGATGCCTAGAGTAAGAACAAATATTGCCTCTTCCATTACATTAGTTTTTATTGATGCAATGTAATGGAATTTGCCTTAATGACTATTAATTATTTGAGGATTGTAATTAACAATTATCGATCAAAGGAACAGTTAAAAATGTACATCCATAGACAAAGTTTGTTTGTGTTTATTTGTTTTAACACCGCTTACCCACACCCTCATCGATTAATTACAGAAAATCTAAAATCCTTTAATGTACTTCTGCACTTCCTGGAGATTTGCTACAGAGACTCTAAGCTATAAACCTATGACACATTTGGTGACAACCTTATATAATAGTCTTGTACATTTGGCTTGAACAATTTTCACTAAAGGCTTTTAGTGCCTTTGATTCCTGCAATTCAGGCTGCAGTAACTCCTTATTTGTCAGACTGCCCATGAAGACAATTAAAGGCCTACAGCTTGTGGAAATACAGCTGCTGATGTATATACTGTACAAGGACATACAAGGACAAATGAGAGCACAATTACTTATCCTAGTGTCCACGTACTTGTTACCTGTGTCCTTCAGAAATGAATTTAAAGTTTCATGGTTTGTTTGTAACTTCCTTCAGCGCTGACCTTATCTTTCCTCAACTCCTGTAAGTAACCTGAGGTCAGCTGACCATTTTTTCTGACTGTTACCAGGCCTGAGCTTGAGACAGAGGGTAGAAGGGCAGTGGAGCCGACGCACATAAATCAGCTGCACTGAGGCAAAATAAAAGAATAAATTACAATAAATGATTGGCCAAAATATCTATACTGAGAGTTAAGTGTACAGTTAAAATAACCAAAAGGACAATACAATCAGTTGTTTTTGTTTAAGCTTTGACAATGTCAAACACACAACATACACATACTATTCATTTAGGATGTGTGTGCATCACCGGCTACTCCTGCAGCACATGTGTTACAAAACAACAACACGGTTTGATACAAATATGAATACATTTATTTGCAATAAGTGTATTCATTACAATAATGATAAATCTTTCATCAATCTGTGGATCACATGCGGGCCAAATAACAGGGATGGGTCACCGATCAACTGGGATCAGATGCACCACTAATAATGACACAGGTGGGTGTTAAAAATGGTGTATATTGGGGCCCCAGTGGATAGTGCATGGATGTGCCCCATGTATGAAGGCTGTACTCCTCCAAGCGGGCTGCCTGGGTTCGAATCAGACCTTTGTCTCCTTTACTGCATGTCATTTCCTACTCTGTCCACTGTCCTTTCTCTGAAATAAAGAAATAAAACCTTCTTGGGTTGCTTGTTTAGCTCAGTTTGTGGAGCAGACATGTCAACATGAGCTGCTGGGCTTGCCACAACCAGCCAATGGGCTTAGATCAGTGATCTCACACTGACAATGACGTCGGACTGACAAATTTTTATCAAGGGGGGCTAGAACCGAGCGTTACGTGCAGCTAATGCTGCAGCTAACAGGAGGACGTAGGAGAAGCCGTGTTTCCGCAGACTTGGAATTTTTGCACATAGATGTGCCTAAACATGCACAGGACACTTTGAAAACACACTAAAGAGCATATAAAACCAGAAAAAGCATAATATGGGACCTTTAAATAAAAAACTATATTGGTCAAGAAGTAGCAGTTTAAGATCATTGGATCAGAGCTAAAATGAGTCAATATGGAAGAGGCTTATTTAAAACTAAAAAGGAGAAAATGACAAACAAAAACAACAACAGAGAGAGTAGACAAAGAAAGACAGACTGACAGTATCTGTCAGACACAAACCCATCTGCACATCTGGCGGATTGATTTGTATCTTGATGTTCTGACTGGAAGACTGACACTTTTTGTTTCACAAAGTTTGTTTTTAATATCAGGCATTTATCCAAGAAGTGGGTGTATGGCACAGAGAGGTCCTAAAGTTTTAAAGCAGTTACAATAGAAGGAAAAGCAGGAAAAAAACAACTTAAAAACAGGTTGCTATACAACCAGCTCAGCACTTTTTTTTTTTTTTTTAATCAGATTTCCTGTGCTTAACAACTGCTTCAACATCTGTTGTACTGTAGGCTTTACAGATGTCCGATTCTGCCGCCTCAGGCAACAGGCAGATTCAGGACCGACAACTAATCAAGACCATAGAAAAAGTTTGAACTGACCATCTGAGCAGGAGAATGTTAGCGCTAAAAATATATATCCAGCCTCAAGATAAAAAGTTGTACACTGCATAATCAGTTGTTTACAATATAAAGTTTCAATACAAGAGCATGGAAGTTCACCGCTGAGTTTTAGTTAAAGGTGGTTAGTCCAAGAAAGTCATTTGTAAAGTCGGATCGTTACCAAAGTTCTTAACATTTTTATAACTTTGTGCCCTACCTGAATCATAGGTTCTGTGAGTTGCCCCTCGTCCACCTCCACAATCATCCGACGGATTTCCTGATAAGGCATACGGAAGGAACCCAGGAAGATAGCTGCACAGACACAAAGGAGATGCAACAAATGCTGTTAATTAAAAAAAACAAGATTCACTGATGACCACTGTCCCAGGAAACTGTCAATTCAAACCAATATTGTGCCATTTTTTTTTTTATATCCCAGTAGAGTGCAGTTACTATACAAAGATTCAGTTAGTGTTGTAGTATTTGAGATCGGTCTTGAGAACACATTCAAGGTCTCGTCCTCGACCTCGTCTAGGAATCTTACTCGGTCTTGTCTCGGTCTCAGACTGGGCGGACTCTGGATTTTTATTCAAGACCCGTAATGTCATTACTGTGATAAGAAGGAAAACACCCCTTTTTAAAACGACATGTAACTTTTATTTATTCATAGTTAGATTTTTTTCCAGCTGTAACATTCCAGTTGTTACGGTCAAAAAGTGACACGCCTCCTGCACAGAAGATGAAGATTTTTCATTGATATTTATAGTCTTGTCTCGTCTCGCCCTGCCTTGGTCTCGATCCCTAAATGTCTTGGTCTTGTCTCGGTCCTAGAGCACTCTGGTCTCGGGTATGTATTAGATTGGGTTACTGCTGTCTTGAATAAAACACTAGGTCCAGTAACAATGTAGACTGCACTGTATGAACCAGAATATATTCAAACTTCTTTTTATCCACCTCTGCTTATAACTTTATTATTATTTCTTTTTAGATTAGATTTAGAGAAGCACAGAAGATTTCACTGTACAGTACATATGTGCAATGACAGTAAAGTATTGTGCAATAAATGTAACAGCATTTTATTGGATAAGAATTTAAGAATAATGAATTACAGAAAAACCGCTCAAGGACAAGTGAAGGACATGAAGATGGAACCGAAGGGAAATACAAATACAAAGTCAGCCAGACAGAAAACTGTTTTTCCTGAAACATTGATTTGAAAAATTACACTGGTTTAGCAAGAGTGAGATCCCTAAAACGAGTAGACTCACCGGGGACTGAATGGCAAATGCCTTGTCAGGATAAGTCATTAGTCAGGCCATCAGGATCATCATAAAAACCTTAACAGTTAAAAAGTGTGTTGCCAGGCTAGAAAATTAAAGATGATTTGAAAAAACGGAGTTGGAATGAGCATCATTTAATATCCTCGAGTTTTAAATGTGTGAGTGGATAGTACTAAAAATACTTAAAGACATCAAATATGCAAAATGTACAGAAGAGCCAGCACTGGCTCTCTTTAACAAATGATAAAAAGCTGCACAGCTGCAAAAAGAAACCTTTATAAATTCAACAGAGGTCTAACCGGCTCACTCGTATTTGTTCCTGTTCAAACTCCTGTTAAAATGTGGTGATCTTTTTATACTTCAATTGAAACCTAACAGATTATAGCTCACATTATGTGGAATACATTTGGCTGCATCTTAATAGTGACTTTATCAATCAAGCAGCAGGACAAAAAAATCTGTCTCACTAAGTTTCAACCTCAATCAAAGCTTTAAGAATCTTCGCCTCCTATGGTAGAAAACATAAACCACCTGCTCTGTTTTTTTTCTCTCTCTCCTTGCTCCTCGCTGTATCATTTCCGCTGCGTGATTTATCACTGTTACTGGGCTGATTAGTCTCATTTTCTTTTAATACATGAAACAAAGGTCACGGCTCCCCTTGATATAAGCCAATGAGGTGCTAAGATCTGGGAGCGCTTAAGAGATCAGCTGGATCCTGATTACTGCCGGGTGCTTTTAAAACGGTCGTTTTAAAACCAAGCATGCGTGTGAAAATGTGTGTGTGTGTATGTGAGAGAGTAAGAGTGAGAGAGAGAGAGAGAGAGAGAGAGAGAGAGAGAGAGAGAGAGAGAGAGAGAAAGGACCCAAGCCCCACAGGCGGACAGATTAATGTGAACATACATAGAAGCATTTACCTCCTGTTTCCACTCTCTTAAACGAGTGCCTAACATTATTACTTAGCTGTATTTGTGTGTAAAAACACAAGTCACAGGAAGCCACATTCACAACTCATGTGTTGACTTGCTTTAATTGCTAACACATTCCCTACCAAAGTTCCCAATGGGGGCCACTTTATAAAGTCAAAAGAACATAAAAAAGGAATCTAGAGCTGACTTTAGTGAGATGAAGTGTAAAAGTGAGTACAATGTCTAGAGTGAGCAGCTGGGAATGCAACAACGTGACATCAAGATGTATGCGGGTGTATAAATCCAGTCCTTTGGAGGAGGAGTGGGCTGAGAGGAAACAAATACTTACATAGATTCTGTGCAATCTTTGGATCGAGCACCTTGAGCTCTTTAATTCTCTTCTTTATGGATTTCTTATCCTCCTGATCCTCCTCTTCCTTTTTGGCTGATGAAGATAGAAACACAGGATTAATATCAAGACACAAACAGAAAATGTAGCCTGAAGTAGACACTTACTGCGTTGCTGACATGTGTATGATACGCACAAATTCAGATACAGTGAGATTATGAGATTTACATCAATTTACAGTATCCAAGTAGAGCAAAAAAGAAGAAAGTAACAGCAAAATTGTTCATATAATGTTCTTATACTGAACTGATTTTGAGATTTCCACAGAATTCCTTAAAAAAAAATGATTTTGGTTGTTGTTTTTTTTATGAACAATAAAAGTCAGGAAAGGTTGAATGTTATACTGCTCGAGAAGCATGGAGAAACAGGATTATGGGGAAGTGTTAAGATCATACCACTGACAAAAAAAAGGTATGCGTGAGCCAACGCTGTTCCATAAAAAATAATCAGGTTATAGGTGAAGGTAAGTCTGGTGTCTGTCAGGTAGGTGGGATTGTGATAGTGCTGTTGCTAGATTGAAAAGGCATCATGAGATCAGGATTGCAAACAAGAAAACCAATACTGAGACACACACAAATGTATGTATACACACATACACACACACACACACACAAATACACAGCCCTCTTGAGCCACACTCACAAAGAGGAGTTCATGGTTGGTTTTAATTATTTAAGACACCAGATTAAGAGAACAAAATGTGCATCCCAGGAGTATGCTGGGTAATTGTCTGGTGCTGTAATTATAGAGGAGAGGAGAGGAGAGGAGAGGAGAGGAGAGGAGAGGAGAGACTGGAAAGGTATTTCTCCTTTTTAACATGTTCTTGGTCTTCTTTCGTGGGTCCTGTTTCTCATTAAAAAGTGAGAAGGTGTGCTGGGAGCTCCAGCAAAAAACTGTTGGCATGTCCACAAGGATGCACATCAACTGCACAGTTCCGTCCACCACACAAAGGAATGCACAAACACAGCCACACACTGAGCTATGCTTGGACTTACGTGGCTCCTCTGTCGGTACACTCTCCTCACAGTCTTTCATTGTGCGAGAGAGAGAGGAAAATGGAAAGGATAGACAAGGAGAATGATGGGTAATGTGGACCATGGAAGAAGAGGAGAGAAAATAATGAGATAAGAACTTTCACAGGAATGTATACTGAACACATACAGTAAGGAGACTTGAACATAGAAAAGGAAATAGAAAACCAATGACCTTTGCATTTAAATCTTACTTAACTAAATTAAAAACATTGAAATATACAATACACACACATAAATACTGTATTTTCAGTCTTGGCATAGATTAAAGCAAAATCATTTTGCTCACCATAAAGATTTAATAATATTACTTAAAGGGATACTTCACCCATTTGCATTAAGCATTGTATCAGTAGTAAACTGGTAGTATTTTTGAATGGTCGTGCATCCAGCCTTTAGCGGTGTGAAACTACAACGCTAGTTCCTCATATTTTCGACCACTGAAGCTACAGACCAATCACAGATCAGTGGGTGGGAACTCACTCCCAGAATCGAAACTTAACATCCGCCATATTGCTTGGAAGCTATGCTAACAGGCTCTATGGAGAAAGCTGATAATTGCGAAAAAATATAAATATAGCGGCGAGACAGGCCGGTCTCGTGTCTTGGTTGCTGCGGCCGCTGCGACACAAGAGCAGCCTGTGCCGGTGCTCTCACTGTTTGCCTATGGACACAGACATAGAGTCTTTTTTCTGCCAGGAATTTCAAGATCAATTTCAGAATCAGTTGAGGAAATGGCCCTAAGTGTTGAAGTAAATATGTCTGTAAATGTTTTTATTACTATATTTCTACTGCTATACTGTATGAAACTGTACCGATTGAATTTCCCTCTGGGATTAATAAAGTATTTCTGATTCTGATTCTGAAATCGAGGACCTTAGTGGTAGTGCCTTCTGCCTTTTCTCGGCCAAGAAGGCACCAACTTCAAAATGTATTTCACATTTCTACTACATATATGACCCAATGTCAATACAGATTCATGTTTCAACGGGTGAAGTATCCCTTTAAATAAATGTCAATGTCACCAAAATGAAAAATATTTGTGGTTTTGGTTTGGGAAAGTTGGGAGAAATGGACAAAAAAATAACAAAACAAAAAAAACAGCAATGAAGATTATACTGTTTGTGATTATGCCATAGAAGGTTAAAAATCTATTTTCTAACTTAAATGTTTGTTAACAGACAAATTAAAGTTCAAGAGGATACATTAAATATATAATACTGTTCAAATTGTTAAAGAGAAATGACATGTAATCTGCCAATATAATACTTAGTATATAATACTTGTGTAAACATGCTTAACAAGTCATAATGCAAGTAGTTTCCTTCGCACAGATTGTCTCCATGAATATATTCAGTGCATATGAAGAGTAGAAATCAACCATGTTCAATTGTAAGGAAAGAATGAACTCAATAAATAAAAGAAATATTTCAATAATCATCTTAAAAACCAGAGTAAAGAACTGAAGTACCTCTTCTAATGGGCTCTTCAATCTGATGTCATAAGGTATTTGAATGCAATACAGAGAGTCGTCCCTTAAAGCCTCCAGCCTATTGCATTGAGATGTTGTATTGATCTACTCATCATAACTTATAGCCGCACATAATCTCATTTATTACGCCAACGCAGCCCAACTCTCTCTCAAACACACACGCACGCTACCAGAGTATTAACCACCTTGTTTCAGTGCATATAAACATACTTGGCTGGGTCACATAATCCATGAATCATCTTCATGAAATACTGCAAGGGCTGCATCCATCTCTAGCATACAAGAGCTGGTGATAAGATAGGAATCATATAGCGGATGCACCAACACACGTACTCACACAACAGTCTCTCTCTCTGCCTCAGGTGTTATCGGTTAAATCAGCTAATTAGATTGCTCCCTTCCAGCATCACCCCCTCATCCTCTCTGGCCCTAAAACATCTCTTATTCGGGGAAGCCTGCTCATTATACATGAGCCAATTAAAATGCCCCACAGGGGGTCAGAGGTCACTGGTTAATCAATCAGAGGCAGCGGCGACTGTTGTAGTTATCAGATCGCGCTATCGCCCAGGAAGTGGAGGCGATAAGGATAAACTTGTGAGTGCGGAGCAGTGGGGAGTCTGCATGACATCACAGGTCCAGAAAGTGGAGGAAAGAGGCAAGGTGGGGGCACAGCAGTAGCAGACAGGTATGATCTCTCAAATGGTTTTGTATATTTGCCAACATTTGACATGTTAAAGATGAAAACATTATTGAAAATAAAGCTCTGTGAGTATAGAGACTCACAGGTGTAGATATTGGAGAGTCCAAAAGAAACAAGTACATCGCAAACAAAACTATTGATTTAAACCTGAGTTAACATCAGAAGCCGAGATCAGATACCACGAAAAAGGGAAGCTGGGCGCTGCCACAAAACAAGAGATTTCAGTGCATTAGAGACAGACAGCAACAATGAGTTGCCTGAGCTGAAAGGCTTTCGCTACTCTGCTCTGTCACACACACACACACACACACGCAACTAACTGTCTTACATTTGAGCACTTACAGGCCTCTCAATGGGGGCCTGTGATAAAAGTCAAGCTGATGGTGGAACTTTGGACAAAGTAGGTGAAGAGATAAGTAGGTGAAATAGAGGAAAAAGAATCAATTATCTCTTAAGCAGTATTGTAGATTATTTGGGGGATACCAAAATACTAAATATGTCAATTTGTGACACTCTCTTCTTTGAATGGAACATAATAGGGAAGTCTTGAATACAACAGAATGTAAAAGTTGATTTATTTTCCCCAGAAGAAGAAAATGTTTAGTTTTAGAATGCAACACTCTTCTCACTTGTAATAATACTTCTGAACGGTTTTGATCCAATCTCTGCCACAGTTTAAAAGGCACTAGACAAAAATATGACAATGTGTAACTCTGCGCACACACACGCCTCTCAAACAGCGGCACTTCCCACAAGGCAGTATCAGTGGATTGCGCCGTCAAAGCACTAAAGGGAATGGTGGATGAAATAAAACTGCTGCGAAAGAGCATGACTGATGCTCTACATGACAGGCAGGCCTCAGAGACAGGCAAGTAACACCTCAAATCGACCCCTTCCCCCACACACACACACACACACACACACACACACACACACACACACACACACACACACACACACACACACACACACACACACACACACACACACACACACACACACACACACACACACACACACACACACACACACACACACACACACACACACACACACACACACACACACACACACAAAAAAACCTCCTCCTCCTCTTCAGTCCTCTTCACTCACCAGCACTTCATCTTATCAGGATAGATTTCTAATCAGAAAAAATGCCTTACTGGAACTGCCCTCTTTTTTTGCACACACACACGCACGCGCACGCACGCACGCACGCACGCACGCACGCACGCACGCACGCACGCACGCACGCACGCACGCACGCACGCACGCAGGCACACACACACAGGCACAGAATACTAACACTAACGTGAGAAAACAAACAAACATATACCCAAGGGAGGTAAACTACTGACAGCAGTGTGAATGAGAACAGCAAGGGATATACAATGTAGGTGTGCGCTTATTTACCACTGGATTCAGAGGTATCACATACCCAAACTGACTACTCTTGATGAGACTTCATTATTTATGGGATGTTGGAATGATACTTTCGCCTCTCCCCACCCTCAGAAAGCAGATACTTCAGCGCACAGCGAGGGAGGGAAAGTTGAGAGGGCAGCTGCCAAAGGGTAATTAAATCACTGCGGTGTTTCCAATGGCCAATCAAGGCAGTCATGCAGGTAAAGTTTAAATCCCTACCATTAGGGGACGATTCTGTAGCAGGGATAATTCAGAGGTCTTAATTCAATGTGCTAAGACACGTTGCACACATATATGAAACACACAGACCATTGCCTCAAGCAAAATCCACTATGAGACATCTGATGCACAGGAGGGGGGCTGTCTGCAGCAAGTGAACAAATCCACC